TTCTAAAAATGTCCTGTTAACATTTCACGTGCATGAGAGCGCTTGCAAAGCCCTTCCATTCTAACTTCTCATGGTAGCTGATGTATTATTAAATCGCTGTTTCGTGTGATTGCTATTCTGCATTCACCCTGAACTATTCCCAAGGTTTCAAAGTCTCTCTTTCAGCGACCCTGGGTCCCTCGAAGGAGGGTCACGATGAATAATGACCCATCGCTCTCCAACACCGGCCCTTACACACAGAGGCCATTTAAGACAAACCGAGAGGTGCAGCGCTTCGCCGTGACACGTCGTCCCGGGACATCTCCGTTCCACCCCGGTTGCCCCTCACAAACACGCACGCTCGGGGTCTCAGTTGGTCCAAAATGAACCGGGGTTCTTTGCGTTTTCTCTGGTACCTTTTGTATCTCCTAAGCATTGCTCTCCTTCTTTCTCCCCTCTCTGTTTTTTCACACTCTCGCTCATTTGCATTCACTATACAATGCGCGTTTCTCTTCCCTTTCTTAGAGCTTTCTGTAAAGTGAGGGAAACTAGGCCATTAGGCCGCAGCGCGGCTTCTCCCTTGCTTCAAGTATCCCCTCTTTCTCTGCCCCCTCCCTCCCGCGCCGCTCACTTCTCGCTTTTTCCCCTAACTTGCCTGAGGTACCCCTCGCTCTTTCTCCCCTGTTTGCTTTTGTAGTCTTTATCACATGACCTTCTCGTTTTCTTCCTTTCTGTCTTGCTGCTCTCATCGCCTTGGGTACCACTGTGTCCTATACCTCCGACTTCTCTTCTCTACTTCGGTTTTCCCACCAATCATCCATAATCCATGCGCGCACACTCAAATTTCAGCTTCCAACTTCAAGTATTCCAGCCACCTTCTGTTCCTATTCACATTTATTTTTCCCTAAGGCACATTTTAATGTTTGGGTGCCGTTTACCATTCATTCTGTAATTTAAAAGAGTAAAATTGTGTTAATAGTAATGGAAGGGACAGAGGTATTTAAACGTAATCCGTTTTCAAAGCCTATTCATCTGACAACCATGGAAGGATTATCATTGTTTCATGAAGCCAGAGGAGTGTGACCGCCTGGCACCGGGATGCAGGTTAAACCTGCACCAGTGGTCAGTTTACACGTGTAAACGATTGTCCTCTTACTCAAATGGGTTGACCCCGGGTTCCAGACTATTTTCTTTCGGTAAATAGGCAACAAATAGGCGTTGTTGGGGATGATTCCTGGTTTTTGTTAACCAGAAGAAAAAACCATTATGAAACCAGCTAACAGTGGATCCAATTCTCCCCTCACACCTTCATTATGAATGTGTTTTGGGTGATAGAATTACAAATTGGATATTTCAGGTGTAAAACAAAATGTGATCCGATCAGTGTTGAAGGAGGCATTTGATGCATTTGGGCCAAATGTATATGCAATTGTGTTTTCAATCCAAAATCCACAACTGAGTGGGCAGAAATATGTCATTACACGCACAAACAAGTGGAAGGTGTGATGGTGGTTTGAGCTGGACGAAGCAATCCGATCAAAATATGGAGACCACACATTAATACCAGGAGGAAATACCTTTATTTTATTTTTTTTAAACTTTTTATTACTTTATTATACGTTTTCAAGGCCAAAACAACCTTTTATTCCCCTCATTGTACTGGAGCAGCGACAGTATTAAAATACCTCAAATCCTGGGTAAATAAAACCTAAACTATTTTATAGTACAAGGCCAGAAAGTGTTTCAGCTATGATCCTCTACATACCTCTTGTGTTACTTTAGCACATGCCAATTCATGGTTACACACATTTCAAAGAATAAAATATCCTTTCATCTATTATTATAAGCAATATTAATAACAACAATTATATTATAATAAAAGTATTCATATTAATACTATTATTTGCGTTTGTTAGTTTTGGTTTTTGTCATTTGTCTTAAAAGGGTGGTAGAGTGTTAAGGTTTTTATGTCATGCTAGTCTATTTGTCCGTCTGAGGCCCCCCCCACCTGCCCTCCCTAATGCCCTCTGTCCGTTGATGGCTGTCTTGTGCAGGTCCCTCCGGGCTAATCTGCCGGTGTAGCAGATGCATGCGCTCATTAACCTGGTGCCACCTTCTAAGAGCCTCATTGACCGCGAGCACACATACGCGATCTCATGCATGTATAGCAGTGACCGTCAAACACACACACACACGCTCGCCTGGTGACACAAGTGGTTAGTATTATCATGCTCGTTGTTCGGGTGCAGGTTTCTGGGCAGAAGTACATCCGAAAAAAGAGTGGAACGGAGAGAGGGAGAATATGCCAGCAGGCAGATGGAGAGAAAATGTTTTTTTCTTTAGTCCTCTTCTCTTTCTTCTCTTCCCAAAAGGAGATTCAAAGGATGCAAAAAGAGTGACTGCCCTCACCTTACCTCTCTCCTTCCCCCCTACACATCTCTCCTTCACACCTCTCTATCTCAATGGCTCATAGCCTCTTGCTTCCACAGAAGCGGTGGGGGGAGGAGGGGCCTCCAGTTTTTCTTACAAACGGCAGCTGTCTCTCACATCGCCACCCCCATTCACGCCCTTCAGAGCCGTTGCCACATCCAAATCTACCGCATGGGACCCCCTCCCAAACACACGCGTACTATCCTCCCCCTGTCTGAGTAGCGGGTTGTGTGGAATAAATGAGCTCATTCATGCAGTGTGGAGCAGCTCCATCACCGGCCCAATGTAAACACGCCTTAGGTGGCTGGTTATGGGCCACAGGAGAGAGGAGTGTGCTTGGACCAGGACCATCACCTAACTGCCGTTACCAGGGTAAACAATCTTTGAAAAGTCCTATTGTACAGATACTTGCTTTGAGCGTTTCATTTGATAGCATATAAAAACAACTCGGGGCTGGTGATTTAAACTTGATTCAGTGTGTCCGACGAGGGGAGAAGCAAATCAGAGATGCGGATGTTTTTAAGAAAAAGTAAACTGGAAAGTATTATACAGCATGTATTCATAAAGAAACAGATATTTTATCAAGTATTCATTTAGCTTTTACAGTATATATATATTTTTTTTTTTACTATTATGAATCAAACTATAACTTAATTGAATGTATGCGTTATTAGGGCTAAAATAATTAGTTTATGCTTTTATAAATAAGAATGAGTCGTCAACCATGATAATCAGTTATTCAATTATCAAGCTCAAAAGGCTATTGATTTCAGCTTTGCTTTATAAACGTGAGCAATCCATTGGTTCTGGATGTTATTCAGACTCCCCCCTCCAGGCCCTGATTTACATTATATTCTTACCTTTAATGAACTTGACAATATCTTAAGTCAATTATCAGCTAATTAATTGATAAAGTAATGCTGCGATGACTAAGGAAACTCAGATCGGTCGGCCTCCAAACCGCTCGGTCTCAGCTCGTCATACAAGCGCTGGTTCACTCTGGATTTGACAGTAGGGGAATTTTAAAGGGGAAAGGTTTGCCTGTGCTCAATGGCATCACGTCAATGTTAATTACTCTGTTTGGACACAATGTAAAATATTCTTCAAGTCATATAAATGACCATTGGATAAAATATTTTCAAATAATGGCGAATGTTGTTGAGGCAGAGTTAAGAGGATAACTGCAAACGATTGTAATTAGTCTTATAATAATACTTGAGTATATTGAAACAAGTAGAACTTGATGTACTTAATTATTGATTGAGAATGCACTATGCAGAACACACCGAAGGAGTACATAGTATGGTAGTCTGCAGTGTGGTAGTACATGAAGTTTCTCACTGAAAACCATCTTCTCCTGTGTGTCTACGTGTAATGAGGAGCACCGTCACCACTAACACTTCAGAAAATGTTATTGCAAAGTGGAAGTTAAGCAAGTAGAAGTGAAACCGAGCAAAATAACTCCTCCATGTCAACTAAATAAAAATGACTGCTGTATTGAATAAATAAAAGGTGACAATGCTGCATGATGAATGAACAATGTTAGATTGTTCATCTAACATTAACACCCATTGTGACGATTTATATGTTCATTTTGTGTGTTTTGAGCTTATGCATCCATTTTTCATTTGTTTTTCAATCATTCAATAAGCCAGTAGAAGAAAAGGACACAGAGGATGAGACATGTTTACTGAGCTGCTGCGGCAAGTAGATTCCCAAGTCTTTCCTACGTTTCATTATTAATACAACAAAGGCCCTCACATACTTGAAAACCACTCTGTGAAAAGGCCAAAGCCCAAAAATATATTGTGTAATAGTACAATAGTACTATGCTTTTGTGCAGGCTGTTTTTAAACCACGGCAAAGGTCATATGATGAAATTAGTTCGTCTTAAAGGCATTTAAAATGTGTGTTTATCCACTAATTTGAAAACCGATGTAAAGTAGGCCAGCATATTCTCTACGCAACAACCACCGCGAGAAAAATGGAGTATAATCGTCACTAATAGGCCCAGCAGCCACCTATTCTGTCAGTAATTCAGTAGTTTCACAGTTGTAATTAATTAGCTGTGACTTAAAGTAGTACACACCCATATACAAAGTGGAAAGATGTGCACTTGTTATTTCACGATACTTGCTTGTCCATTAGCCTGTAGAGTGGATATCCAGTACGCTGTTTCTCACAGAGGAGCTCAAGGTCAGTAAATACAAGCTGAGCACATTGCAACCACTGTTTCGCTACACTTAACTCATACAACAACTACTGTAAATAGTTTCAGTTTCAGGGGCTTGAGCCTGTGTTAAAAAGCTTTTGATCTCAATAGCAACCGCCTTCAACAGGGAGACTAAAATAACCAGTGGCACTCAAAAGCGACCGCCAACACTGCTTGTAGGAAAATGTTTGACAACTGAAAATCCAATAAAACAGCATGTAAAGTTCAAACAAGAACACCCGAAAGAAGAACACTGCCGCTCTGTATTTCCCATAAAAAAACAACACTTGACTCTGTTTCCATTAAAACAGGAACACCGTCTCCTTTTAACGTCCCACCATTACTGCCCTCCCCACTGGCCACGTGACGCCTGTCTTACCTCTCATATTCCAGGTTGTCATGGTCACAGCGGGCGTCTTTGTGCTTCTCCCAGTCCTTCCCGTGGCGGCACGTCGTCAACGACACAATGTCCTTCCCATTGTGGATGTGATGAAGAGCGTTTCTGGTGTCTGAGCCAATGCCCGTCAGATAGCGCTTCCCCTTGAACATCAGCAGGTATTTCCTTCGTGGCGGAATAGTGTTCCTCACCAGCCAGCCCCGGTCTCCGCCCTTCTGCGGGTGATCCTTAGAGAACAACGGGATGGAGACGTCAAAGCCTGGCCTGAAATGTTCTGTGTTGAGGCTGGCCTTGGCCAAGATGGCCTGGCCGATGTTAAAGCCCAGGTCCTCTGTGTAGTTAGGCCAGGTGCCCGAGTAGAGGTTGAAGATCAAGTGATTCCGCCCGTCATTCCACAGCGGGAAACCGCGGATGCGTTCATCCATGTTGGGCACAAACTGTCCTGATAGCTGGTCCCGATCTAAGGTGTCTATCCCGAGCACGAACAGACACGCCTCACGGGGGTCTGATGTGTAGTACCGGGACTCGGCGATGGACGCCAGGATCTTCCTGTAGCTTTCAGACACACGATCACTTTTCTCCGACGGATACATGTACACCCTGAACCCTTCCCTACCTCTGCGGCGACACCGTGAGAAGTCAAAACAGGTCTCCATGCGGCAGCGACTGTCCTTATATACGGCGGACCACGCGTGGCGGCGCTGGTGGGGCAATTCGCCCGTGCCGGGGTCCATCTGGATCTCGTCCAGGTGGGCATAGCGGGGCAGGAAGGCCCTGTCGGTCCAGTTGGGCCAGGGGCGCACCACTTCACCCGGCTGGCGCGTCAGCAGCCGGAGCAGACGTAGCTGGACTCCTCCACCCCAGTAAAAGAGCACCAGCCAGCAGCACGCACACAAGCCCAGCAGACCATACTTCTTACGCGCCTGCATGGGGGCCTGTCACAGTCTCTTTTTTTCCCCACTCTGTCTCTCTCGCTCTCGTCCTGCGTTCTCCCTCTCCTCTGCCCCTCAGCTCGGTGGCCTCACAGGGGCGGCGGGCGGGGGGGTGGGGGACAGCGTCTTGTGACTTCTAACAAGGAGGTTCCAACGAAGGACACTGCGTTAAAAAGTGCATCGCTGACTCGGAGGGTGGCCCGGGCCACTTTGCCATTTAGGACGACCCAATCTGAGTTACCGACTGCCCTCGCTCAGGCTCTTTCTGCCTTCCCCATTTGCTCTCCACTGCACTCTCAGATGGGAGTATTAGCCCCCGTCTGCTGTGGTATACGCTGCCTCCGTGTGCATTTCCCCCGCTGCCCAGCCAGGTTGGGGCAGTTGATGAAGGGTGATTTCTCCACTCGGTCAGGCCAAGCTTGCTGCCTCATGGTGTTGCCTGGCTCGACTGCTCACGGTAGGGCCCCTCCTAGGGGAAAAGTAAACAAATAAGAATGCAGATCAGTACACAGATCTCCTCGACCGACACGGAGACGAGCTGCCGTGACCAACACTTTAGAGCCAACAGGTAGGCGCTTTCCATTTTGGACAGACATGTAATTGAAGCCCCAATCACATTGCACACATTTAATCAAATAGCAAAAAAGTAGCCCCGCTGGGCAATGCTTCAAAGGCAGCAGAGGATTTTAGAAACAATGTCTTAATCCCTCTTTACCTTTTATCTCATAGAGAGCAAAGTATCAAACTTACTATCTTACCATCAAAGAGGCATTCAGACTCCCTCATGAACCACACCACAAAACCGCCTCCTCAAGGACTCCACTTTCTATCTATCTCCCTCCCTGTCTGGCCTCTGCATTCCTGTGAAAAAGATGGATGTTTACGTGTGTGCCAAGATGTACACTACCGACTTCTGCAGTAGTTTCACACAAGCCTAGATGTTATCGTGGTCTTCAAGCTCCAGTTGAACTGCGGCAGATATAGATGAAGTGAAGGAGATAACAAGAGTGTGTTTAGCAAAAGCACCAGTGAAACACAGCGCAACTTTATGGCTCTGTTAACCTTGGCGAGTGAAAGCTTTTTCTGTTGCATCTGCGAACGTTTTTTTTTTTACCACATACCCCCAACTCCCAAACATGTACAGTATACCGGTATCTGTGTGTGTGTGGGGGGGGGGGGACTTCTCACAGTAAAGGCCTGTGTTCATAACGCCAGCTGCGACACAAAGGCAGCCTTCAGGTCTCACCTGGCCGTTCTCGCTCTCTACTTCTCATTCACATTCTCCGTGTCCGCCTCTTCCCCTGCCAAGCAGAAGCGATGCCTGCCTGCTCTGCTTGCAATAAAAAAAAACGGCACACTGGTGATCTGGGCAGACAATACATCCACTGTTTCCTCACCTGAAAAGGGGGTAGGGGAAATCAATGAGTGTGCTGCTGTTATATGAATACATCTATATAAAGATCCAAAACTAGAATGAAATCCTACAATCAGGATAAGCTTTATTTACTCAACTCCTTAGACTGTCTATGAAGCATACGGGCATATGATGACCCTTAAAGACACATGCCACTTATCAATTTATCAAATTTGCAAATGTTGCTTCCTATCATTCGGACCGGATGCTTTGCCGGCGGACTACAGCCAAACGGCAGCAAATTATTAATGTTAGCTACTCTGCCGGTTAAGATGTTGGTGGTTGGTTTGTGGCACCTTCCCTGCTCTACTTCTCTGGCCTGAGCGGCAAGCAGTCAGAGTTGGGGAGAAACAGACACTTGGGATCCCATTACATAGTCCTCATCAATAATTCACTTGCTCCTTTGGTTAAGGCATTGATTTCTTTATTTTTTTCCGTGCTTTATATCCCCTGCCACCAACAAACACAATTAGACCTCAATCTTCTTCAGCATAGGTGAGAGATGGGTACGAGATCAGCCCGAATGATTTGTGGTTGTGGCGATTTAATGGATGTTTTTGGCAAGAAAGTGTAATAGAAAAGTGAATGACGGTCTCATTGTCATGATGGGGATGGCCGTGATGAACTTGCCTGATACCATTGCTTGTGTTCATCCACCCGCAGTTGTCTACTAAAACAAATTTGCATTGATTTAAGTGCACTGAGTCACTCTATTACTGTTAGATCAACGATAGGAGTTTCACACTTCAACTGCATTTTCACAGTAACACACAATGTTTTTTGAACCTTCATTTGAAACCTTTATTAGATTTAATTTATCAAACACTGGCAGCTAAAATTCGATTTGATTGTACAAGGACAATGAAAGGAGACGCTTCTAGTCTAGGTCTAGTGAATGGAGGATAATATGTGAATTGAACATTATCATTGACAATATAACGGGATATTGGGGCATGAAACTACTCATTTTAAGACATTTTTGTAAAATAATGTCCTCCTATTGAGGCCTGACCTCTCCAGGTGGGGTACAGCCTTTGTCTAGCGCCAGTATAATGATCCTCATCATTCTACTCCAGGTTGCAAGGACCAATTGTACAATGGCTGTACAGTTATCAAGGACCAATAATGATGAATATAAGGCAGTGTAACTGCCGGACATGCCTGGACTCGACAAGATCCTTAGAGCAGCAAATCAGCAAAGAGACACACACCGACTCCATGCACACATACACACAAATAAGTGGCTTTAAGTGGGGAGAGAAGTCCCTCTGTCACGGATCAATGATGGATCATTATGGTTGGGTGACTTGCGCTGGAAAAAAAAGCCACAAGGCTCATTGAATAGAGGGGTTTGAAGGTGGAGGACAGAGTTCAAAGAAAGGTGAGGACAGCGTCTGCCATTGCAGCCCTTGTCAATGGTTTCCCATCTATATCTTCTCTACTTTATCATTCCTTTCTTAGTTTCTTCTCTTTTTCAACTGCTACTGTAAAGCCAGGCTAAGCGAAGGGTTTCCCCTGGCAACAATAACACGTTCTCCTTTTTCAATTACTCCTGCTTCATTCCCAAAATGGGGCTGGAGGGGTGAGCGCACAGCACTTCATCACAGATACGAGGAATAGACGACAAGTATTTCATCCTACTTTTTCCTTTTACCATTAAGGTTCCTTTAGAGTGTACTGAGCGAGCAATGAACTTGTGTCAACACTGCAAAAACAATAATGTAATCATGCATACAGCATCAAAATCGGCTAATAAAAAGTGGCAGGTGAAATCGTGCACAAAACAAAAACTACCTTTCAATTATTTCTTTTTTTTAAGGTTTCTCCTTATCGAACGTCTTAAGAATGCTCCAGTTTTGAGGAACTTTCCGACTCAACATACCCTCATTCAAAGTTATAATCTTAAACGATTTCATGAACTGAAACCCTGTTTTTGATACGAGTTAAGATCGGTTTTATTTCAGCAAAAGTCAACATGCCAACCTCCAAATTCTCCCACTTCAATTGTGGAAATCTACCAGCATGTGCAGCATGAGATCAGATCACTATTTTAACATAACATGAGTTTAACCTGTAATCAGACACTCAAGTTCGTATTTCTGTACAGGAAGCTGCTCATCAAGTAGCTGCCGATGTATTAAATTGCACTTGCCGATACTGGAAGTAGACGTGGAAACAGGGCTAAGGGGCATGCAGTATTAAAGGGCAGGTCTTCAGTTAAATACAGTCCGATCTGGAGGACATGGAAGGTCAGTACTTAAAAGTACAGGAAAGTCAAGGCCAATAAGAAGTGAAGACATTAAATTGGAAGGAGAGAATGACAAGAGAGACGAAATGGATATTTCATGGACGACAGCTGGACCTCTGCCTTTACTTCCTGCAACTGTATTTCCCCTCAGACGGCTGTAAGGGCTTCCCTCCACTGCTCCTACCCGCTGTGAGATTTCCACTGAACTACACTAGTAACTCGGGGAAACAAAATTTAAATGCGTCGCTCCCCCTTTATCTCCCATGAATTGTGTTTAAACCACTGGGGTTATACACTGAAATTGATTTTAGTGCCACAGATGATGATTGTCCTGTGCACAAATTCAGAATTTTTTTGTCAAATTTGGGCTTTTCTTCCACCAAATGGGATGTTTTTTTTATAAAGCGATGTTTGCCATTTGGGAACAGATTTTCTTTCAACAGAGGGTTTTTCCTTGTTGTTAAATTGGCTGTTTTCTGGCTATAGCACCTGCGGTAGCACTACTAAGTGTGTAAAATGCTCCAAATGAAATCCACTACCATTACAACGATTCTCCAGGTAGTCATTGCCATGTTATGAACAGCAGCATTATCATGTGTGCAATGATTTGGGCAGTGGCATAGAATGTGTTAAATCGACATTGGCTGGGCCAAATACCTGCGCAATGTTTCCATTCCTTTCCCAATGATTCAGTTAGCTTATGTAGAAAATCCTCCTGATCGATAGAAGCCATATTGCTGACAAACATCCTGGGTGGGTGCACTGTCGAAATACCACACTCCAGCCGTGGCAGACCTTCCTCTGTGTGCCTGAACTGTACTTATATCTGACTTGTGTCTTTTTGCTGCTTTTTTAGACTTAGCTAGTGATATACATTATTACTCTGGCAAAATTGTTCTGAAGAAAACACAAATCTTGTGGTAAGGCGAAAGCCTCGGTGGAGCTAAAATTAAAACCATGGACTCTGTCATTATGGGCTCAAGGGATGCGAAATTATGACCAGGAGATTGCTGCACTGCATTCTTTGCGTTACTGCAGTTGTTCCACATCTTCTCAGCTTGTGACCACTTTAAGCGAGGCTCTGTCGTGTTCAACTGGAAACGTTATAGTGTAAAGAAATAGTAGCAGAAATGGGGTATGATTTTATGAAGATGGTGTGCATAAGAATATTAAAATAGCCTACATCACAAGGAAGGCGCAAACATCACAAAAACATTCCCCTCACTTCTCACGACCCGTCTTTTGGTCCCAACCCTCAGATTGGGAACCACGGAGTCCTTGTCTTAGTGACCGGAGGGGCGAGTCCACCATGGAATTTGTGTGTGGAATAGAAGCAGGGGGGGTATTTCTATCTCTTTGTGACTGTGTACCACCGGAGTAGGAGTCACTGGCTGCGTGATGTTTGTCTGCAGTAATATCACTCACACTGTGGCGACCAAAGAAAAGTCCTGCTGTGGTTAAAATAAAGGGTCTGTCTCTCCTGACAGAACTGCATTAAAGGCTTCCACAACCGGCATGTGATCCAGGTTCTATTTTCTGTCCTCACCTACTAGGTGCCCTTTGAAATGGAGGGGCGATTCACACTCCCCCACACTGTATGCATACATAAGCACACACGTACACATAGGTGCTGTTTGGTCTATTTACAAAAAAAATGTCTTTTTACTGGTAAATATACACAATGACTATAATGTTATGGGGTTATTTAAGGGATGTCCATAGCGTGGATAACAACACATCCTTTCCACCTTAATAAAACTGAAGTGGTGGGGCTGGGGGACTCGAGCAGCACACCCTGCTACGCGACCAGCCTCCCGACCGCGTTCCCGCTCCAAAACTCTGCGTAATTACAAGCTGGGTTGATTAATTATGTCCCAGCAATATGCTGCACTCAAACGCCACAAGTGCTAATTAACAGAACAAACACAATAGTGGGAATAGTGTAGTAGGGGGTTCAAGCCTGGGCTCTGAATTTTTAACACACTGACCATGACAGCACAGGAGGGATATACAAATTGACTCTGGGATAATAAAGTTGGGGGGTGAAGCAGCTTTTGCAGAATATGGCTTTAAAAGATCTTGTGAGTAAAAATTATTTGATTTCAAAGCTTTTTTCCCCAACCACCATTGTATGGAAGTATAGGTACGGCTGTGTTGTTTAATCCCCAATCCTGCATACCCTTCTGTAGAGAGGTACAGTATAAAATGAATTTGAATGCACGATCACTTTACAAAGCGACCCATCAGGGTTAATAGTTCATAAAAGGTTGCAGCCCCTCTAATGACCGCCTATTAAATGCCCAACACATCTGGAATATGAATACTTCTGTAATGGCCAAGGCTTCAGCAAGATAAGATTTGTGCTTCTCTTAATCATCAGGAAGGTGATTAAAGAACCAATATGAACGCAAACTCCCATTAAGACGAGGGGGTTGCCTTTACATTGAAGTGCTTCCAGAAATGAGATTAAATTCAGTTGCAGTTTGCACTCAGGGTAAAGCCTCCCCAGAGAGGCTTTTTTCTGCCGATCCTTGATAACAACCGTCTCTTATTATTTATTATCTTACATCAAATCAAAGTTGTAATGTATTGCTGTGAACCCTGCAGCCTTGTTTTGTTTCTTTGGGATGTATTAATATGTGGAGCACTTGGTAGCACGTTGTTGGAGGTGATGCTCGTCTCCTGCATGAGCTACCGTCTCTAAAATATGTTTAAAAAAACGCACCCAAAACCGAAGAAAGAACGCAGCATCTTTGTTTGGACAGGAAGAGAACAGAGGCCTGCGGCGTGTTTCTGTTTAATGTCAATGTAACTTATAAGTTTGATGTTTAAAATACATGTAATGTAAAATCTGCCTGTAGAGCCATTATCACACAATTAAAGAATATGACTTATTAAGACTTTACATTCAGTATGTTATTAACATTTAAGGGTCTCTCCCACGATGCTGTTCTTTACTGGCAGCTGAGGAGGCAGCAGCAGTAATATGTTGGATGAATGGAGGAAGTGGATCATCTGCCAAAACATCTCAATACGTGCTGCAGATTTTCCTGCAGACCAGAGAGTCGATGACAGCCTGGTTTAGTTGTCGCACAATGCATACTTACCTCCTCCAGCAGTAGAATGACGGTGACTCATTCAGGTCCATGAATGCATCGACAGAGCTACACTATTTGAGCACTAACGCGCGGACGTCTCTCAATCTAAAGATCCCACCGATGCAGAACAGCTGTGTTACAAAACGACCCCGAGATCCGCTGCAGGTGGGATCCGGTTCTGAGGCGGCGGGTCCGGACTCCTGAAGCGCAATCACTGCACAGTTAAAAGTCACCAGTCCGCCGGTGACACCACGATGCGCGAACTCTGAGCATCAACTTATGATCCTCAAAATGTAGTAACGAGCCTGGCAACGCGCGAGCACGACGCGCCGTCCGCGCGCGCCCGCTCCAACGGGCTAAATGAGATCGAGGGTCCCGTCGCACCGACTCGCGTCTATCCTCCGAATTTCCCAAATCTCACGAGCTCGACGATGTTTCGTTGTTCTCCTCCACTATCCGGCGTGCGCCTCCCTCGCCGAGGGCACGGCGGGTCGCATCATCGCCGCCCCGCGCCGCCCCATTAGCCCGCTGGAGTCACTGTCAAACGGGCTGCAGACGGACAGAGTCGTGATTCCGCGGCGGACCAACGCGCCCCTGTTGCACTACGACGAGTTCCGGTTGAAGTGAGCTTCTGGCACCATTGTTTGTATCTCTGCACAGTAGCCCACGACCACCGGTCCTCTATCGCCGCTGTGTATCGTCGCGAGCCTCAAACCCTCGTGATTCCAACCGTAACATCTGAGCACCGCGTGGGACAAAAGGTGCGCTGCAGCACGTCGGGAGCAGATGGAGACGAGGCTGCTCTAAAGCACCTTACAGACACATGGTCCTGATCTTACAATCGCGACCTGGTGTCTGTGGACACCGAGCGTCTGTTTGGGGTTTTTTATTAGCGCAGCTTCACTGATCTCTGGAACTCTTAATGCAGAATTTACATCGCACCAGATCCATCGGTCCATCGGTCCATACACCACAAGGAACCCAGCATCTCAACGTAGACAGAAGAAAATCACCCACTGTGCGATGCCCGCTGCGCTCCAACTTCTTCCCGAAGGAGAGCTGGCCTCTACCGGGTGGAAGAACTGCCGTCGTCTCCTCTCTGGTAGTCGTTCTTTTCACAACACGGACATTTGCCGATCAATTCAGCATGCAGGCGCAGGCCTCCCAGTCGGGATATGAATGATCAATGTGCTGAAATTGTCCATATTCCATATCCACAACCGTCTACACGCGACCCGCCCCCGGGCGCCAGCGATTGGTGCAGAGGCTGCGCGGCGTCTTCGTCGCTGCGTAAAGAACAACACGCGCACGCCCACATCTGGATGCGACTGCCGCACAAGTGGGAGCTTTTGGGAAACATCGAATTACGCACAGGACTTGGAGCGACGCGGACGGGCGTGAGATGTCCCATTGTGGCTGCTGACGGGAATCGTGTCTCCTTCGGGGAAATTGTGGTTTCCAACGTGTCGGTGAAACGAACGGGCCACCGTGAAGAAGAAGAGGTGTGAGCCAATTATTCTTGTTTCAGCTGCTGGATCGGGACAACGGCAGTGGGCTGTTGGTCGATAATTATGACGATAGAGGAGATTCACATATTAAAGATATGCACGAGAAGGCCCCAATATGCAATTCAATTAGAGACTGTTTTGCAATTTAAAGGAGTATTTTTTAATTTATTATAAAAGCTTGCACTTTATTGGACTGATTTGGCGAGTGTCTTATATATACTATGCGTCAATGTCTGTATTACCAAGCATTGCACGTTTAATCGGGTACGACATGATAATATCAGGGGGGGATCCGAGCGGCGCGTCACGGAGCGCCTCACCTCCAAAATGAAACCAGCATTTCTGAGACTCTTGCGCCGCTTTGTGTCCAGCTAAAGGCATCGCCCCTGCTTTCTATCCCCGTGCAGCATATCAGATTGTCTATTATTGTGTCTACATTGTCTATGTGGAGACGGCGAGGCGAATCACTGAGAAGCAATGAGGATCTCTGGGGCTTGAGGACAGCTGCCTAGCAAGGGGTTTGTGCATGCGGTAATAAGAGTTCACCAAGAATCAAAATGACTTAAGTGTTAATAATAATAAATAATAAATAAGAAAAATATTGTATTTAACCATGACGTGTTGTAGTTATCTTGTTGGATTAAAGTTGTTTAAGAGGCTTATTCTGCGTTATCGGTAATTGATGGTTTAAGTTATACCACCGTTAAAGCTGCTGTTCTTAAAGTGTATGAAATGGTGCCCGAGAGCGTTTTAGAAATAGCAGAAAAGACGGTAAACAAACATACTTTTTTCACGGGACTTGGTGCTCAACTTTAACCGTTGGCGAGTCGCTGCAGGTGGAGACATGTGAGACGTTATGTGACTTGGTGCTGTTAGAACAGTTTCAAAACGCAATTCTCACTGAACAGCACACTGTAAAGAAAAACCTGAAATATACGGTAAATTACTGGCAGCTGTGGTTGCCAGAGGTTTACCGTAAAAAAAAGGGGACACCGTATAAGACATTACGGTATGTTTTTTTGCACCCGTAAAATTCCCAGTTGAGAAATGTTTTGTTTACAGTAAATGATCATTAAAAAAACGGACACACTGCAAAAAGAAATCCGAGAAATATACGGTATATTACTGGCAGCTGTGGTTGCCAGAGGTTTAACGGAAAAAATAAAGTGACGCCGGTATGTTTTTTTGCACCCGTAAAATTCCCTGTTGAGAACGGTTTTGTTTAGGGAAAACAACTATTAAAAAACGGATACACCGTAAAAGGAAATCTGTGAAATATACAGTAAATTACCATTTTGTTTGTATAAGACAATATGGTATGTTTTTAAAAAACAGCATTTATTCTTTGAACCTAATTAAAGTCTTTTTCAGAGATAAACACAGTACAACTGTATGAGTTACGGTATTTTATTACAAAGTTCAAAGCAAATAGCCAGCAACTGTATTTGCCAGAATTCCATTGCAAAAAAATAAGGTATAATGTATTACAATTGGTTGGCATATAATTCAGTCAACATCAGGAAATATTAAATAAAGCTTATTGTAAATCAAGATCCGGGAAGCGGAGCGGTTCGGGACCTTCTGCTTGAGGACTTGTATCCTCAGGTGTTCACTGCGGATTGGGAGGATCCTCTCTGTAGCCCAAAAACAGAAACAAAGGCAAAGATGCACTGCTTGAGCAGAAATACATTCACATTCTTGTGCTGCAATGACCTAGAAGAAACCAACACTAATTTAAGTTCTTCCTGTTAGGGTTATACTTTAATAAACATATATTTGTTACTCTCGTACACCGTCTCCTGCTCCTGATGTTTGGCACAGCTTGAGCCAGCTACACTCTAAAGAATTTCACTGTAAATCAACGGTAGTTTACTGGCAGCAAGGACTCCAGGAGTGCCTCTGTAAAACAAACCAAAATAAAATATTTAGAAACATTGTCATTGGTAAAATATTCAAATTAGAAAGATGAGGAAGACAACAAGATGTAAGGAAGGAGAATGTTAATCATGCTAGGCAAATAACACTTGGTAACACCAACGTTACTTGGAGAGTCGAGGCAATGAGAAACTCCTCCGATGTTGAACTGCACAGGTGTTCTGGATGAACTGAGATTACGCGTCTGACGTCACGTTCAGGAGCAGTCGGTCATGATTGACACTCAAAGGACTTTTAGGCAATGAACACTTTGAATAATACAAATATTTATAATATTTACATTCCGGCCACTGAAATGACGGCGAAAGCGGCGCATGGGATAGGGAGGATGGGGTGTGCAGTACAAGGTCGGTGGTTCGAATCCTGGCTGCTCCCTGTGCCAAGTCGAAGTGTCCCTGAGCAAGACACCTAACCCCCAATTACTCCACATAAAATTATGTCAAACCATGGGCGTTATGGATAAAAGTGACAGCTGCATGTATAGTAATGTCCTGTAAGTCAAAGTCATCCTCGTATCTCATGAGATACTATCTCATTATGATGACTTACAGGACCTGTTTTTCAGTGGCTGACGTGGGCTTCCATTCATTAACCTACAACAGATGTAGATGGATTGTGATTCACTGCACTTATATGTGTATTTCCACCACTTCATAAAATATATGTAACATGCAGTTGAATTACGGTAGTCTGCTATTATTGTAAATTGACAGCTTTAACTGTTTATTCATGACATTGGCCGTTAATTTACAAGCAAGGGATGGAAATTTAACTGTACGTTACAGTTATTATGATATACTGTAAGATACCGTTAGAAATGCATCGTAAATTTACAGCAATTTGTTACAGTGTATATGTAAATGCCCTCTGCTTTTTCCTCCCCAGTGGACGATTGAGTTGAGGTCAAATTACGTGTGTTGATTATCACCCGTCCTCATGGCTTATGAACTTACTGTATGCGCTTCTCACTTCTGACTCAAAGGCGACATCGTGTGCCGGTATTCGGTATTACCACAAACTCCCGGAAGAATCAGTTGGTAAATGAAAATGAACGCTGATTGAAATGGCGTCAGCCAGGCTGCGTGGTTGGGCTCTCTGCGCCGTGACTCTCCTAAACTCTGCGTTTGTCTTCATATCCGGTGCGGACTTTATTCGGTTTATATCGTTTCGAACCATTTACCACAACATCACCGGCGAAACAACGCTATGTCAAGGTAAGTTTCTTCACCTTCGCTGACGTGACACTGCGGCTGCCGACCACGCGAAGTTAAGGCGAGCTGACTTCATTCGGGAGTTATCAGGGAGACTGAGCTAGCACGAGAGGCCGAAACTGCCCGTAAACGTCGTGCTGTTTACACGTCACTCAACTGTGGTTACGCTATAACGATCTCACAACGTCATTCTAGCGAGTATGAGTTCATTAACCCCTTTTATCAGAAGGTAACCATCGCCCGGCTAGCTCAGTCGGTAGAGCATGAGACTCTTAATCTCAGGGTCGTGGGTTCGAGCCCCACGTTGGGCGGCTTTCACTTTTGCTTCTAGTGTCTGACTTGGTCCGACATTTTTTACGTAAATGTGTATATTCTCAAACGTATACAATCGAGGTCTTTTGTGAAGGAATTTTAAAATGTGAAGCAGTTTATTTTAATTTTTATAGTTTTTGAAAAGTGGTTGAAATTGACGTAAAGGAAAACAGCGGCGTGTAAAATCATGCATGATTGATAGAATGAGTTACATTACTTTTATTCTTATTTATTCTCCTTCTCATTCGAATTCTCTTCTCATCATTTGCCAACATCTAAGACTCTACACCGTGGGCGGTGGCCCTGCAGGACAGCTCTGTCCTCGGGTCTCTGCTTGTGGATCTGGGGCTGCTGGCTCTCTTTATTGTGCAGCACAGTTTGCTCGCCTGGTCACCCGTCAAACAGGCCCTCCAATCAGGGCTGGGGGCCCTGAACAGGACGGCTTACTGCTTCACCACAGCACTTGCACTACAGGTACAGCAACACAGACAAAGTTGAACTTGTATTATACAATGTTTTTTTTCTACACCACTCTGCATCATCATCCTCTTGTCCTCCTGTGTTAGATCATCATGCGTTACTGGCAGCCGGTGACTGCCGCTCCTTGTCTGTGGTCCGTGCGTCAGCCACCATGGAGTATCTGGTTCCCTCTGCTCTGCTTCAGTCTGCATTTCCTCTGCTGGGCAATCATCTGCAGCATCCTCATGATCTTTGATTATCCAGAACTGTTGGGCATTAAGCAGGTGGCTTACATTTTCATTCATATGTGGAAGTATTTCTGCTTTTATGTGAATAGTTTAAAAGGAAACAAAGAGAGACGGGGAGTATTATACAGTAAAAGTGGTGGATTCAACACTGAATGTTGTGTTTGCAGTATCCCACTTCACCTGTGGCTATATGTCGTTACTTTAAATGTTAAACCTCTGAAGGGCAAATAATTTAGCAGAACATCCAACAATTCTGCAACATTTATTATCTTTTTTGTTTCTTCAGGTTACTCCAGCTGGCATCTTTTGTTTCCTTGGACTTAATTTGATGCAACATTATTTTGCTTAGGAAAATCTATGGAATTCAATTTATTCTTTCATCATTATACCCTCTCTCTCTCTCTCTCTCTCTCTCAGGTGTACTACTCTTGCCTCGGTTTAGGGGACCCTTTGTCTCACAAGTCACCTCGCGCCCAGCGCCTCCTGTCTCACCTCCGCCACCCGGTGTGCCTTGAGCTGGGCGTCGTGCTGTGGCTCCTGCCGGCCATGTCCCTGGACAGGCTCCTGCTGGCGGCGACTCTGTCGACCTACATGGCACTGGCGCACTCGCTGGACAAACAGGATCTAGCCTACCTCTGCGTCCAGCTTAACCACAAGCTGCAGCTCTTTGCCGACACCAGCGACCACAAGGAGGAGTGAAGTGCAGGTCCTGATGTGAAGCTTAAAGCTAACTGCCGGTTTAATATTAAACAGAACTAAACTTGATAAGTCGCTCCAGTCATTTTCTGCTAAAAACAAATGGCCAAACACTGTAGTTTTCCCTGGACTGATTATATTTAGGAACAAAGATTATTTTATAAATTGAATAAAGGTTTTATATTTAAGTTTTATCATCATGTGTCCAAATGAGTAAAATTTTGCAGAAATATCTTTATTTTGTTTATCATAGTACATCTTCTTAGGTCCTATGTGCCAACCGCAGGTTTATTTCTATGAACACAAAACCTTATTTTATTTGTCCTTGAGTAAGATGGTCACACAGTAAAACTGAACAAGAATTTTTTTTTAAATACTTTTCAGCTATTATGAAAAACAATGTCATTACTGAGATTATTAATATATTTCCTCAGTTGTTTTATTCTGTGTTGGGGACATAAATGTTATGAAAAAACTTCAAAAGTACGGTGATTTAACGTACATTTTATGCTGGTAATAAATGTCTGAAAAGTATTTTCATGTTGAATGAATACAGTGATGTGTAGGATGTTTATTTCTAATCTCTTCATTTCGTATTATCATTTTTTTTTAATTTTGAGAACCAAATCAAACAAGATTAAAAACACAATTTTGAAATCCTATTATAACTCAAGGACACTTTTTTTTCCTTGCATTTTCAAGTGAATAAGTGGGTTATGTTTTATAACCGGAAAGAAGTTGCACGTTTCATTCGTCGCGTAACGCGCATTACGGCTACTTGCGTTTTACGACAAAGAAAACGCTGCAAAACAAGAGAGCGAAGCTGCGGGTCGTAGAAGAAGAAGAAGCATGCAGGTTAAAGCGGACACCACAGTCCCTTCCACCCCCCACCCGCCTCTTTTCTTCCAATTAGCCCTGCGGGATGGGGGGGTTGGATGGGATGGGGGTTAGTGCTCGGGCAGACGGCTGTGTTCTATAAACGCCTTTTCTCAGGTCCGACAATATGGCCACTAAACTCTCCTGACGGAATTTAATGTAATTATCGGATTACAGAGAAGACGCTCCCGGGCTGGGAACATTTACACGGACGGCGGTGCTCTGGCGCGCAGTCGGGCTGTGCGCTAATTTGACATCTTTTCTAAAAGCACAGCATTCTGACAGCATAGAATACTCGTTGGTGGTTGTTGGAGGGGATTTTGGTGGAGAGGAGCGGATTATGACGCCTGTAAAGTCCCAGCGGATGCAGGCCTTCTAATATCGTCTATTTTGGTGAGTTTAATTCAACACTTTCGTCATAAAAATGAGAATAAAGTTGTGTGCATTATGTCATGCAAGTTAATGTGATGAAGTTTATGAAAAATATCAAATTGGCTTAGTTTATATCTTTATGCTCTAAACATTGTAAACACGTTAATTCCTATCTAAATAGTGCAGTTTGCAGCTGTATAGTAAACTGTTCCATATTTGTTCGATGTTCACGGCTATTAAAGATGGTTGTGGAGAGAATTGATTTGAATTTATTGTTTCCTTATCCGCAGACAATTCCCAGCGGCTCAAAAAATCTTTCCTATTCAGAAAGCTTTCTGTTATGTCTGTCTCCTCTTTGCCGGAATGGAAGCAACTCCTGCTGGAGAAAAAAAGGAGGGAGGAGGAGCAGAGAGAGAAGAGGGAGAAAGAGGAGGAGAAGAAGTTGGCCAGCATGCCCGCCTGGAAGCGTGGGATCATCCAGCGGAGGAAGGCCAAGCAGGACGGTTTAGGTGACAGGGAAAAGGAGAGAGACGTCTGCCTGCTGCAGGTGGATGTCAGATCGGCCTCCGATGACGCGGACGGCTTCGTGGCGGTCAATTTGGAAAGTGAAATGTTGCTTAGTCCGGACGCGGGGCTGTGGCAGGATGGAGAGGTCGAACTGGCGAGTCAGGTGTCCTTAGAAACTATAGTTCCGGTCCATGAAAACCCATTTATTCGAACGCAGAGCGCATGGAGGAAGGGCAGGGACGCAGAAGGGGGGAACGACGCAGAAGTTAGGGAGAAGGAGAAAGAAAAATCGAGCCCGAGGAGTCAAGATGGCGAGCCGGGAAGAGGAAGAGAAATCGAGGTGAAACTAGAGAGATTCAGAGATGTGAGTGAAGGTGGGGAGACGGAGAGGAGCAGGGACAGGAGTCAGGGAAGAGACAGAGAGAATAACTACCAATGGAAAGAGTCCGTTAAGGATGCAGCCAGAGAGCGAGAATTACTCAAAGTAAGAAAAGGGGACGAGGAGGAAAAAAAAACAGACTCCCCATCTGGTTCGTTTTCTCCCCTCGCCCCTTGTCTTCGGACCATCCGAGCCGACAACATCATCATCATTGAGCAGGAGAGGAAATGCAGCGATGACAGAAAGCCTAGATGGAGGGAGGCTGAGAGGGAGATGCCTGAGGAGGACCAGCAGCTGAAGAGAGGCATGAAGATGGACCTGAGGGAGATCTTTGCAGGAGGAGGGAGCATCACAGAGATTCGAGCCTCTGAAGTTTTGATCATAAAGCCCTCTGCAGGCCCCGAAGAGAGGAGTCCAGACGTGGGAAGAGGAGGCGGGGGTTCGGTTAGAGAGGATGGAGAGACAATCTGCAACATGGATGAAAGGAGGGAGACCTTGGCCAGGGAGCTCAGAACAGACAAGTTCTGGCTCAGAGAAAAGGGAAAAGAGAGATCCTGGGGCCATGTGACGGTTATTAAAGACTACCGGAAGAACAGCTTAGACGATAATGTCTTTGTTGAAAGGGGAGGGAGGGTCAGCCAGCTGCTGAGCAAATTCGGACAGCACCCTAAACCTCCATCTCGATCCAAAAGCTCTGATAATTTCCTCCAGCCTGCGAGGAGAAAACTCTCAGGAGATGAAGATGACCAACAATCTGAGGCGGACGGGAGGAATTTGACGAAAAGTGTGCCGAAGCGCTCGTTTAGCTTCTCTGATCGGGTCCTTTGTGCTAAGGAGAATGGTTTAGATGACGAGGGTCATCATTCGAGGAAAACCCGTCCGAGGATGCAGACGGACCAGAGCGGGGCTCCGTGGGTCCTCGGCGCAGGCTTAGGGAGGGAATCCACGGCGAAGGTCAAACTGGGTTGCACGCGGCTTTTAGACAACGACCGTTTTGAATTGCACAAAGATGGATATTTAAAAAGTGAGGACGACAAGGGGGCGCATAGGAGAAATGAAGCAGAAATGTGTCCCTTCATCCAACGCAGGAGCGAAGTGAAGAAAGTGGAGGCCGTTGATGCGAGGGCTTTGGAAAGGCCAAGCGACGCAGATGGAGACGAGGGGTTCACAGCGGCATCCGTCAAAAACACGGAAGGGATCTCGTTCGCCAGGAGAGTTCCGATCAGGCAGGAGGGGAGAGCGAGAGCTGAAAGGGAGGTGAACCGGCAAACAGGGGAAACGAGTCTAGAAAAGGAGGGGAGCGTAGAAAAACAATCGAAGCGGGCGGAACAGCTTGAGGAGCAAGTGCGTGATCGGAAAGTCCTTGATTGTCGGAGAGAAGAGGGGTCCGGAATCACAATCCCCCCTGAGACGTGGCAGAAGAGTCCCGTTGACTCGGCTTTCACAGAGTGCTCCAGCCACCTCTGTACCGTCACAGATAGAGCCAGAGACCTCCACAGAGGAACGGAAGGACCTTACCTCGCACACTCGCTTTTGTCCCAACACACAGAGGAGCTTATAAGTAAAATAGAAAAAATAGGCGACACAGCCATTTATAGCAACGAGAAAGGTGAAAGGTCTCCCAAGGCGGCGTATGAATTTACCAAAGGATCAGATCAGGAAATTGGATCAGAGCCATTTCTCAATGACGCAACCCCAAAATCTCCGAAAAGGATTGCACCCACAGGGGTCCCTCCGGTTCCCCGGGAGATTCAAATCCCTAGAAGTGTGTTTTATGTTGCCGAAGACATGGTGGATAGAAAAAAGACTCAAAAGGACGAGGGCAAAGACTGGGAAGGAGGTAAAGGAGTTGAGAGGAGGGATAGCTGGAGAATGGGAAAACCCCTGAGCCGCATTGAGTCCCTGCGGGAGAAAATAAGGCAAAGGGAGCTTGAGAAGTCGAGACACAGAGAGGCACAACGTGGAGGCGGGAGGGAAGGTGCGGAGATAAACGACACCCAGGCGGCTGAGGACGGGCGCGACGAGAGAGGAACTGAAATAGAGAAAGGGTGGAAAGTTGCTGCTGAGATGCGGAAGAAGCCGCTCGAGGCAGAGAGAGGACAGGAAGACGCAACGGCGCAGACATCCACAACTGCATTTGACGTCACAAGGGAAGTCGGCGTGTTGAAAACCTGCCTCCAACTTCCTGTTTCAGTCCCACGCTCACGAGCAACTGCAACCGCTCTCTCCGAAGTTTTCTCTGACAGCTTCCAGATACCCGAGGATGAGAACGACCCTGTGAAACCTGTGGAGGAAGAGCCGAGCTGCCGCAGGGGCCAACGCGAAAACAAAGAGGCGGAAAGCGAGGAGGAGGCAGAAAAGGAGCGCTCAGAGGAGGAGGCCGAGGAGTACGCACCGGCCGTCGACCCCGTGCACTTTGTTTCCCCTTCGCCGCCTCATCCCAACTCCCTGGAAGCCATGAGCCGGATCTACAACATGGAGCCAGTTGGCTCGAGGGCGGGCGTGTGCCTGAGGGAGAGGGCCGCAGACATCCCACCTGTTCACCTTGTCAAAGCGAAACCCCTCGTGTCCAACGCACAGCAGCGGGACGGCACGGCATTGGCGGGTGAGGACGTCTGTGGGGTTCAGTCAATTCAACGACACATAGAGCAGTTTCAGCTGAAGGAGCAGGAAACGCTGAGGTCCTGTGCGTCACCGAACGGCGTTCTTAAGGACAGAGAGACGAAGGGGCATCAAAGCCCCAGGGTAGTGTTAAGGAACCAGGTCAAAGATGATGAAACGGCACCGGAGAAAGATCAAGAAACGTCGGAGTCGAATCCCAACGTGTCTCCTCGGCGCGTCCTTTCTTCAACATCTCCCCCGAAGCAAGCCAACCAAACGAGCACAGTCACCTCCTCACTGCTCAGGAGCCAATCCCCGGACAATGGCCCGAAAACCTCGGATTACGCCTCGTCCCCGGCCTCGTCCCCGTGCTCCCCGTCCCCTGCACAGTCTCCGAGCGTGTCTCCGTCTCCGACCCCATCGCCCACGCTCTTCTCCATAAGGAGCGCCTCTGGAGGCCAAGTGAAGAGAGGTGCCACCATCACAATCTCCCCCAAGAAAACTGCCGGCGGAGGAGCGGCGGGACCCACAACGGGCTCCGCGGCAGAGGGCGCGAAACCCTCGAAGACTTCACCGCAGCAGGCCCAGGTGACCTCTGCTGCGGCCGAGCCGGGGAAGAAGAAGTACCCCACAGTGGAGGAGATCGTGGTGATCGGTGGATATCAGAATCTAGACAAGTCCTGTCTGGTCAAGAACAAAGAGGCCCCAAAAAGGGTGAGCGTTTGGTTTTTTTGTTTGTCTTTCACTCGTATAACAGTAAGCAAACTTACAAACTTAAAGGCTTACTGTCCAGAATCCAAGTGCACCAAAGACAGGTCGAGACGTTATGCGCTCATCTCAGTTAACATGTCGCGCCGCACAATTGGGAGCCTTCTGATTTCAAAATGTATGGTTGCTTTATAAAAATCATCGAAGGGTGGTTCAGAAGTCACAACCTCAATGTCAAAGAGAGACGTCTTCTCCCTCTCTTACATAACATCCCATTTGAGTGAGAAGTACGATCGCAGGCACCGACTAAGCTTGTTAAAGCCTTATCAAGCACGACATCTTGACTCTTAGGCATCCAATCCTGGTGATCTGCTTTGCCACTTGCTTCTTGGGTCTGATTCTTTGCAGACCTTTGACTTTTACCACATGACATTGAAACCATTGTTCGTATTTTAGACAAACTTGTGAGCAGTAGAGAAGATGACATGTTTTTGACATCTATGGCTTCTTTTCCTACACACAGAGCCACAGAAAGGGAGTTGCTTTGTTTGCTAAAATGAAGGTTGATCAGTGTAAAAACTGCTTTAATATTATTAGTTTGATGAAGCAACGGTAGAAATGTTGCTGGCTTCCTGACTGGGAAACCACAACGACACGAAGCAAGCTGCTTCCTCCCTTCTTTTTTTGCGTTTGGTCTGTCTACCCGACATCCCATGCTTGATTCTGTGGATGCAACCACACTGACATTTACACTAATTCAGTGTAAGCAGCCTCTCCTCAACCGACAAACGAATCTCACTGGAGTTAAAGGTCATACACAGACTTTTTACTCTTGTAAACATGTTTTAACATATCCTGAATCCAGTCATTGTTTGAGTGGGAGAGCAGCTCTTGTGTAATAAAGGGAGCAGAAGTAGGTAACTTTTAGTTTGCGTGTGTTGCAGACTGCTTCCTCGGTCACTCGCATCAATTCCGCCGGTTTTGTTGAGTCAGCGTTCGCTCCATCTCAAACAATTCTCTCTTTGTATCTTTTTTTTCTTCTGTTTCCTAGTGGGGATTTAGTTTGTTGGACTGGAATCTTGGCAAAGCGCCGACCCTCCGATGCATGACTGAGTGTTACTGTCAGCAGCGCGCCAACTCTCAGTTTGATGTGGGCGAAATGAAAAGAGAACGAAGTGTTTTAGAAAGATATTAAATAGCTTAATGGTGGTCTGAAAGAGGCACTTCGTCATACTGAGAGCATTGGAAGTTATCGAAGGCTTATTGTCTTGTCTGACAGAAACTGTCGGTGTCACTGGAGGCTTCTGCTCGGTTCCTCCTTTAATTTTGTTAACTTCCCCTAAACGAGATCGACAAGAGGAAGAGAAGCGATGCGCTCCTTTAAATCTCTAAATGCAACTCAGACACTAAACCGTCTGTTTCAAAATACTTCACTAATCGAAACAAGGGTGAAAGAGAAGCTTTGGTGCCGTTCTCAGCATTTTAACTTCTCTCTTTACGGTGACATTTAATGGAATAAACCATCATTTATTTATAAGAGAAGTCCTCTTCAGCTGCAGCGGGCGGTGATTCTCTGACCACCTGTCGCTTCGTCTTTGATGCCCTTCAGGCTGTTTGACGTCAGGCCTCCTTGCCTCCCCCCCTCTGAACTGGAGGCGGGAGGGGGGATAAACTGCATGCTCCTTCTCTTCCGCCTCCATAATGTTCCTCTTCATGTGTTCGCCTTTTATCTAGAACTTTACGTCTCCATCAAACGCAAAAGTCTTATGTAGGATGTTAGATATTTTCACTATGTTCAAAGCTACACCATGCATGCATTTGAATTTGAACATTGTCTTCTTGAACTATTAAAACATGCATTGGGGATTGGGCTTATTTAAGTATTTAATCAAGTAGAACTTTAACATACATGCATTACCAGAACGAGCAGTATAGAACCTGGGAGTGTGTTCAGATATCGACTTCCTGCCCGTGAAAACTACCCTCTTATTCTCCTTCCCTCCTAGTTTCTGTCTCTCATCCGGGGCCTCTGCTGTCCTGCTGTGATAGTCTGGTTAATCGGGTTGGTGGAGGGAGGATTAGCCTCCTGTGCCTTAGCATGATTCGCCGGGCCTCTCTAATGCAGTGCTATTATCTGCCCTCCTCTGCGGGCGGCTGCTGTCAAGGTGAAGCGGCGGTAGCTCTTATAATGTGCAGACCCGGATCACGTGTGGTCCTGTTGGCGCGATTTTACTACGGGGCACATACCGGCCGTAGCGACGGGACGCGCCGTGGATTTGCTTAGTCGTCTATGGGTCTGCTTACATGACAGTAAACAAACTCTACACGAACATCCGCATGTCCCGACAAAGGTGAAGCAGTGTCCTCCTCCTTCCAAACAAACTCAATTTCAGAGGCATTTATTTTATTTTCTGCAAGATTTTTCATACAGGACAGTTCATTGTGTAATGGATGTTTGAAACGCCTTACTTATATTTCCTTGCATTTTCTTTAATCGTTGATAAATAAAAAGCTTGCTAAAAATCAAGTTGCACTCAGCTGTTCTTTTGTTGCCATTTTGCCTGCAATCAATAGATAACAGTAGAGACCCTCCAAGCTTCCTCTTTACTCGCTACGGAACATTGTCTCTCAACGTGCAATGATGTAGGACTTTATTTCCAGATGGTACGTGTGTTGGTACAGACAGAAGCATCCATACCTCTCGTCAGAGGATGGGAGATGTTCTCCTCGTACGGCGTCCTCCGCTGAGCCAGCTGTTTTGTAAAGCAACCGGGTTTGCAAGAAATAAAAGACCTGCAGCAAGTGAAATAACCCCCCCGTTACTCGTGTTTTCAGGGAAAGGTGTGTTTTGACGAGGACCAGCTGGAGCAGGTGTGCGAGTACCCGTCGGAGGTCTCCATGCTGGCGTGTACGCCCTTCCCTCACGACCAGTGGAGGACGGAGAGGCAGCAAGGAGAGGAGGCGCAGAAGGAAGAGGGCGAAGTGGAGGGAGGAGCAATTGTCTCCAAGAGCACAAGGAACGTGGGGATTACCACAGGAAGGGGTCTAAGGGGGGGTCAGTGTCACCCCCTTCTCAAGAAACACAGCGTGTGATGACTGAGATTATGGGTTCAGAATGTTTCTGCCATTCGTGATGTCTCGCTGTGAAACAATCCATAGGCTTGGACTTTACTCCAGATAAGATGGCATGTCTTTCCTTGAATATTATGTTGGCAATGTTTTACTGTATATCTTTCTTATTGTCAGCAAATCCAAAGAAAAAGGTAAAAAAACAACAATGAATTATTCTATTTCTTGTGAAACCAAAGTCTAATTTAGCTTTTTTTCTCTGTGCCATCAATGTGCCTCACAGTTATTCCGGGTGATGTACTTTTATTATGAGGTAAAAGGGCCTTGTGGTTTTATTTGGAGCCAATCCCACATGTCATAGATACTCAAATACTAAATGTCAATTAGTTTCTTGGAAGCTCAAGTTCACAGCTTATTGAATGGAGATGTTTATACCATTGACCCCGGTCTTAAAGCTGCCTGCAGACTATTCTTCTTTTGTTGATTAGAGTGATGATGAAACACATTTAATAAACGACAGTAGTTTTCTCTATTTCCAGGCGCTCTGTTTACACAAACGCCAGTCCTAGTCATTGTTAGGAGAGCTTGTTTTTTGTCTTTCCAAAGGGATTTATTGACAATAAGAAAGATCTAGGTTTACGCCAGCTTTCAGTAAAACCAACTTCCTGAATTTGTCCAAATGTGGCGTGTTTGCAGTGTTGTCAACGTCTGCATTGTGACAAATCAAACATCCCCATGTTGGTTTTCGAACCATTAATGCTTAATGGGAAATTGGTAAAATATATATATATATATATATATATTTTGGAGATTGAATGGAATGTTTTGGATGCATTTGAAAACCCATACATGTCTCTGTTGGTCAAAGAGAAACGAATTAACTCCAGATGTCCAGCAGAATAGATATCGTCATCGAGTCACATTACTCATCTTCCATCTCTCTGTCTTCCAGATGAGTCTTGTCCTCGGTAGAAGCCAGTCAGCTTCGCCTAAATTGCCCCTTTGACGAGACCACAAACACTTTGTTGAGCGATATTACATGATTTATCTTTTGTTTAATTGGAATTGCTAAAGTGAGTATTTGTAATCATTGTGGTGTTGTGCTTTTATCTAGTGTCAGAGGGATTGAGTCTTGTGGAAGAAATGAACATAACAGTGTTTACTGGGGAAGGTGTTTCACCTGGTTTTAATTTCAGGGAAATGAATGGGTGATCGTGAATGTATGGTACATCTGATGAAAGAACCTCAGCTGTACTCTGGCAGGCACCTACGCATTGCTTGTCTATGCAATATAAAGATCATATTTTATTTTTTAGTTAATATATTTATTAGTTTATTTTACGTTTAAATACCTTCTATATTGAAATCTGCCTCAGCACAGAAGAATGATGTTTTTATCATCTGGTTTCATGTGCCTGCTGGATTTGCCCATCCAGATGATATGAAGATCAGTTTTTGGAGCCGAATCGGATTTTTCCTCTCTGAAGCCTTTTTGGAGAAACCTCCTCTCAGTGGGCGTCGACCGTTGCAGGAACAGGGGTGGCGCAATGTGTGCAGGACAACATGAGCATCGCTGTTCATGATGACAACTTGTAACAGTTCAGTTAATGTGCATTGATATAAATAAATAAAGGCATTATTTTGTTATTTTGTTTGTCATGTGGAAGTCGAGAGAGCTGTGTGAGTGAAAGTCTCTAAGAGGAAGTTGTTTTTCGTTCAAATGTAAGTATAGTCGTCAGTTCAACTTCATGATATTACAGCTGCTATCTGACTCGTGTCTGTGCTACCTTTATGATAACATTTGTATTCAGTGTTGCTTGTTTGTAAAATCATGTTTTGATTGGTGAAAGCAAATGAGAATTATGTGCAAATTATTTGTTTTCTATGTTGGATAAAGAAGCTAGCTAAAAGAGAATAGATCTAATACATATCACCACTGGTTTGTCTCCTCTTTTTCATTGGTTAATGGTACAATCTTTGTCCTTTTGATAAATAACTATGGTGAAAATATTCTAAATGTATGATATATACTGAAATGAGGGGTTAATTATTGTTCTGAAACAAGCTTTAGAATATTCACAGTAGCTTTCCTGAAACGTATTATACAACGTATTATACATATCATCACATGCTTGTCCTTAAATGAAGATTTTGAGGGGTCCTGGAAAATTAAAAAAAAACAAATTATGACATAAATAACTAAATTCAATTAAATAAATCGATGCAAGTGTGATGTGCATAACCCAAAAGTTAAGAAAAATGTTTGTCTTATGCATCACACATCATGTAAGTAAAACAAACTTGATTTCATGTTAAAAAAAAAGAAACTGTTAAAACCAATCGATGGTTTGTTACTGTTTGGAAAGAAACCTGAAATAATTCTTATAGGATTCCCACCCGTATACATCCTCCTGGGATGCCGTGTATGGCTATATATGCCGTCTCCTGCAATGTTCTAGTTATCTCCCATTGGACATCACCGTAGTAGCAGCTGCTTTAAACGTCCTGGTTCTCCCCTTATATGCGGCATTACTTATGCAAAACACATAAATACTAACAACTGTTAACACAAGGCTCTTACAATTAACTACTCCACTGCAACAGAGATTACAGGTGGAAATAAGGCCAGTTCAGGACCCACTATTCTGTTGATTACTGGCCATAAATACATAACAGTCACGGGGGGTATTTTCCTTGTAATACTTGAAGTACATTTCCCTGCTTACGTACAACATACCAACGGGAAAAAATACTTCCTCAGCCATTGTTTTATTCTCGGAAATGGAGCCACACTAAAGCGTCCTCCTCATCGCGGGTTTGCAACAGCGACGCGCGGCGGCGGGCTGCGGTACTGCGGCGCTTCTACGACGCAGCTGCTGCTGGAAACGGTCCTACGTCAGCACGCGCGGCGTAAATTCAGCCCCCCCCCCCCCGTACGTGAAACTTTGCACGCCCGCGTCCAGAAGGGAAGAAACAAAAGACGGCGGGGCTTGAGTTTAACCTCGTGCACGGATGTTTTGAAACCAGGAGCCGTCGAGCCAGGGCGAAACTCATCTACGTCCGCCATGCAGAAGAAGTAACGTCGCAGTGGAGGAGGCCCTCGTTTCTTCTTACTTTCTGAGCCACGGGGTTAGCGGAGGTATTGCGGGAAGTTTGCAGAGTAGAACGTCCTACGCGGGCTCCTTGTGTCACACATGCGACGCTGATTGTAAGGAAACATGATTTTGGGGAAAATCCAACCAGGAGCGTGCAGAGCATGGCTGTCTCGGGTGAGCCGTTTTCTGATTTTGCTGTTCTAAGTCGTTGTATTCGTTGTCAGTGTGTTGATTAAAGCAGCTGGTCATGTTTACTCGAGTCATATATTCCTCGCTTCCTATTTGGATCCGCCCTTCTGTCATGGTCCAACTTCTAATGAAAGTTACCGCATCCACTGGTTACTGATTACACTCCACCAACTATAACGCGTACACACCTGGAGTCCACAGGCCAATACACAAATATATCTCACTCAGTTCTCCGGAAACCTTTTTATTATTTTATTTTCTTTAACGCTGCTTCCTCTCCTTTCAGGCCTCCGTGAGGCAGGAGTTGTGTTTCTCCTCCTCGGTGCCCCCGCAGCCCGTGCCGCCGCTGGCGCAGACCCTGCAGGGCTACCTGCGGACCCTGGAGCCCCTGCTGCCCCCGGACGAGCTCAGCCACACCCGCAGGATGGTGCACGAGTTCGGCGGTCCGGGTGGCCTCGCTGCGCGGCTGCAGAAGGGTTTGGAGAAGCGAGCCAGACACGCCAACAGCTGGGTGTGTGTGTGTGTGTGTCGAAGAGGGACACGTGTGTGTGTGTTTGAAGTCATAGGGGGGTAGGAAACCACTGTTCACCAAAACATAACTGCCAAAATACTAAAACTAGCTATACTATACTTGTGAAAAATGAATTGAATAAGGTAAAGCCGCTAAAACAAACTGTAAGAAAACCTGCAGAATTGCAGGTGTCCACACCTCCTTCTATAGTTGGATTAAAGCAAAAGCATTCACTTATTTTTTTAAAGTAAAGTTACACAATGCGTCACAGGAAAATCATTCAGCAAAAAGTGTAATTTTATGAGAAAGCGTAGGTTTCATGGAAACTTTTTGAACAGGTTTCTGAGATATTCTGCAAACACAACCTCCTTTCTTCTAATTTTCTTTAAATTAGCAATAAATCAATTCTCTATGAATGTTTCTTGCAAACCATCTGCCCTGCTAGCATGGGTGTCTAAGGACAGATAGCACATTTCAATTGATGTGTATTAAATAACTCTCTGTGTGTGTGTGTGTGTGTGTGTGTGTGTGTAGATCACACCCTGGTGGGTGCAGTGGGCCTACCTGGAGAGCAGAATGCCGCTCCCTGTGCACTCCAACCCGGCCATCTCTCTGCCAAGGAGGGATTATAATGGCTGGAGGAGCCAGCTAGTGTGAGTAAACGCACTACAGCAACACAGTCCCCTTAACGTCTTGGAAGGGAATGACGCCAAATGTGTCAAATAAGCAATTCTTCGGTTAGCTCTTGTAATAGAGCCTGCGTCCATCTGCAGATTTTCATAATATAATCTATATTTCACAAGAAAGTCTCAGCAGACAGTTCAATGCTTGGTAGTCCAAACAAAAACACAATCAGCCAGACTAAATCAATGCGTCTCTTGGTGCTGTGCCTTTGTTTCCAGTGGAAACACCTGGCCAGGATGTTTCCCTTAAACGTAATCCATAATCATTGATCTATAAAGAACACGGTGCTTTGTTCATTCCTAAGAGAAGTTGCTCATAAAGCAAAAAAACAACAACAACCTCTGAATGTGCAATTCGGATTACAGCTGGGTTGAGAATCATCTTTTTTCATTTTACTTTCAGTACATTTTGCAGCGGCCCGTACAAAGTACCCACCGCTGCCTGCATGACTCATTCAACTGCAGTCTCTCCGTCACGGCGATTCGCTGCGTTTCATAATAAAACACGTATTTCTCCACTTAGGTTTGCATCCAAGCTGATTGCAGGGGTACTGGACTTCAAAGATAAAATCAAAACGTAAGTTTGGCCCATTAATTTATGTGTTAACCCTTTCTCATGTTTTAAAGGTTACTTGTTATTGGATCAGTGTTGGAAGAAGTAGTCTGATCTTTTACGTAAGTAGTAATACCACAGTGTAAAAGTATTCTTCACAAGTAAAATGTGTGCTTATCAGCAGATGTACTCCAAACAATAGCTGTGTTTGCTAAGATGAGACGCTCCTTTTGTCTTTTTCATATTTTGGGGGTTTCTATCTTCGGTTGAGATTGAACTGATTTCAACTACTTTACAATCCAGCCATAAAATGCACCAAAGGTGACATGTGTTTTGGTGCATTTTTTTTTCCTTGTTTTACAGGGTTTAAATATTCCAATTAAACCTTTTTTAATTTTTAAAAGAAATACAACTTATTTAAAACGAATCAGGTGGAAGTTTTTGTCTTTTCTTAAATTATGTGTTTTAAGGCTCATTTGTGTTTTTATAGGAAAAGTAATCTTTACAATCTGTAAATGTTGGAGTAGAAGGTAAAATATTTCACTCTGAAATGTGGTGGTCATAGATGCTAATTAAAAAATTAAAATATATATTAAATATACTGTTACATTCCATCACTGGAGCAAGTATTCATAGGTACATAATAATAATAATAATTAATAAAAATAAAAAAATCTAATCATGCACGGATCCCCTTTGTATTTCTGGTTGAATTAGTATTAAAAGCAAATGAAACAATCTGTCGATAATTAGCCGTCATTAGTTAGTCCTTGATAAGTTCCACAGTAACTTTTGTGACACAGTCCCTTTCCCTAGTTCCTATTTCAGTGCTCTTTCCTTTGGCCTGGCTGGCATCTAAAAACGTGTCTGGCTGTATTTGCCTGCAGTCTCTGTAACCGCGTCTGTGCAGAGCCAGCCGCTGAAATATTGGTTGTAAACGTGTCTGTTTGGTCTTCATGACAGTTTGATTATCTTAAGGTCTGTGACAGTAGGAACTCCACCTTTTTGGGCTTGACTGAAGTATTCTTTGGCTACCTGCCACTCTTCCAGTCCTGCTACTTTTCATTGTTTTTTTTGAGGGGGGGGGGGGGGGGTTATTCTTTCCAGTCTCTCCCTCCACATGCACACCAAACAGAAGGAAATCCACTCATATGCTCCATTACTCATTCCCCACCACATTTACTTTGCACTTTTCACTCAGTTTTTGAAAATGAATGATTAAATAATGACATCATGACACGTGTCTCTCTCCCTGTCAGTGGCCAGCTGCCGGTGGACTACATGCGCGGGAAGCCTCTGTGCATGGAGCTCTACCCGCTCCTCTTCTCCTCCTGCAGGATCCCCGGCCCCAAACACGACTACGTCGCCCACCACGGCCGGTCCCGGCGCTCGCCGACGCACATCACGGTCGTCAGGAACTACCAGGTGGGACGTGCTGACAGCAGATGATGCTGTGGGGTTATTTTTCAAAAGACAAATATACCACATTGCATGCACGTGGAATCTGGTCTTTAAGACCTAAACCAATTAAAAATCCATACATGCCTCTTAGAGTGTCGTGTGACAGAAGAAGCTCTTTTGAGTTAACAATGAAAACAAACATCTCAGCTTTTAACTCAAGAAATGTTGTTAATGTGCTCTTCATGTCACAATATTATTCACATAAATCTGCCTTTTCTTGATCAATATAGTGAAAAGGTGTTTAAGTGCAGTAGATCTTGAGGCCTTTCCGCTATCTAAATGACAATCTACTGATTATCAAAATAAATGCAGGTAAATTTTCTGCTGAACGCCTAAATTAAGTAGTACTTCAAGTATTCACTTCCGCCCAAACTGACTTAATGAGAATACTTTTTGTCCAAAATACCACAATAAACAATTAATATTTTGGAAGCCAAAACCAGTGCTTGGTTTGTGGAAGAGGAAAAAGCCCCGTAGCTTAAAAATAAATGCTGAACCCAACACACGCACAGTCTGTATCTTGTATAGCAAATAAACACCAAACGCAACGTTGTGCGGAGGACGGCTCAGCTCAGGCGACGGCGAGCCAACGCGGGGGGGTTGTCGCCCCTTTTGAGCGCCTCCCGTCTGCGGAGCACCGATGTGACAACGGTGGCCTCCTCTCGTCCCGCTAGTTCTTCCAGCTGGAGGTTTACAACAGCGACGGCTCCCGGATGACGGAGAGTCAGATCCACGGCCAGCTGCTGAGGATCCGCGCGCAGTCCTGGAAGACGGACAAAGAGCCGATGGGCATCCTGACCAGCGAGCACCGTCACACCTGGGGGGAGGCCTACAACCGGCTGCTGAGAGGTGTGTGTGTGTGTGTCTCTATACACACACTTGTACAATTTGCATGTTTTAAGAATCGTTTGCAGATAAAATTATAAATGCAGTTAAGTGTGTGTGTTTTGATATTTTTTTAATTTAACTTTATTGTGTGCCAGCAGTAATAATTGTCGACGTCTTAAAAGCACTCGGCGGTTTTGTTTCTCCTATTTGGAACAGACAAACTCAACAAGGAATCCGTGCGGCTGATCGAGACGGGACTTTTCTCCTTGTGTCTGGATTCCCCCGTCATGAGGATATCGGATGAAAAGTAGGCGCGCACTCGCACAAACAACCTACTGCCCCCCAACTCTTTCTCTGCCTTCTCTCTCGTAAGCCGCACTCTGGTATTTCTCTGGTGTTTGCGAGATGTGTGATGCAATCGTGTGTGTTCAAAATCATTATGCTGATTGTTGGCTGCAGCGTTTCGTCGGCCAAGACGTACATTTGTCACTTACTCCATTTTGAATGTTTGACTTGCTGCTTCTCAGCAGCTTGTTTCTTTAGACTCTCACTTGGTTTCATCTTTAATGTATGCAAAATAAAAAGTATGAAAATGCCTTTTGTGCATAAAATACCGTCTCCGCCTCGCCATGTAAGTAAACTAACAACTAGGGGACAAATAAATGTAGTGAAGTAAAAAATACAATCTGCATCTAGTACAAACAACTCTTAACAGTGCCGACAGTTACTACACCTCAGCTTGTTTTTCTTTTTTGTCATTACTTTGTGTTTTTTACGACTTTGATTGGCAGGTATGCCAGCCGAAAGGCCGCCCAGGTTCTGCACGGAGGCGGGACGTTCTCCAACAGTGGAAACCGCTGGTTTGATAAAACACTGCAGGTGAGCAGCTGCGATTATTCCCACAGGACGACGAGAGTAGATGAGACAGACGCACCCGTCACTGTTGCCTGTGTGTTTGCTTGAATAGTTTGTGGTGGGCGAGGACGGCTCATGGGGTCTTCTGTATGAAGCAGCCACAGCCGAGGGTCCGCCCGTAGCAAATCTCCTGCATCATGTCCTCGAGTACTGGTGAGCTTAGAGGGTTGATGACATCATCCTCGTTGCATGCTGTTTTAAGTGGATTCAATTCCGTTTGAGTTTAACGTTTATATACATACACTAATCACGCCTTACAAGTCGTAGACATCTGGTCTCAATTTAAGAAATGCTTGCCAGGGAAGTAAGCTCGGCCCAATTCAACTTGGACTCCACAGTCCACATGTATGCTTACCTAAATGTGTAGTTCAACTCTGTTTAGTTCAAACCTAAATCTTCAACATAAAATAGTTTTAAGGGATTTACAGTTTTCATCATGGAAAAAAAGGATCCAGGCAAACGGTTAACAAGGAGCCGGTAAAGCTGAACATCTCACTACAGAGCGGTTGCAAACACAAACAAATTGCCCAGCGATTCCCACTAGCGACCAGCATGCACAGAATGGACCGTGATCGACCGTGGATGTAAATGCTGTGCTGTCTTGACTGCAGTGAGAAACCAGACCCAAAGAGAGCACCGCTGGTCCCCCTGCCGATGCCCAAGAAGCTTTACTTCCACATAGACCGGGAGATTAAGAGGGACATCGAGCACGCCAAGCAGAACCTGGACATGTACGTTTCCCCTCTTTTCCTCCGGAGCAGAGTGTAAACGAAGTCTCTGCAGGCTGCTTGTCATGATAAGGGAAGAATGGCCCCGCTGCACAGTGTAAGCTGGACGTTTGCTTTAGGCTCAAAAAACTAACAAACCTGAATTGAACTTGGCCCAGAAAAAAGCCACAGGAGTATAAACACGTTTATCGTCTCTGTGTTTATGTAACCTTGACAAAACGGAAGGTTTTATGAGTCTTTTGTCATCCAGGTTTTTTTCCTACTAGCATTTTGTGCAATTTCAGCCTTGAATCATCCAGATGCCAAGATCTAATGCGTGAATAACGCTTTCTCCTCCGTGCCAAGTGAGTTGAGCTGGACGGATGTTTCTCCTGCTCAAAACACCTTCAGTGAGATTTGTAGTGAAGTTGTATTAATGTCATTTGTCAGCAAGTGTAACTATTCAGCTCTAATTGAGTATATAATAATATGGTGTAGAAGAACAGGAAATGCAACTTATGAACATCCACATTCGTTATTGACCTTGGGAACGTGTTCTCCAGATCTCACCGCGTACTTCAGTGACTGGACCTGCTCAGGTCACAGAAGAAAGCCACGGCATGTGGAGAAAGACGAAACATTTAGTTTCTAACATTTTTTGGAATAATGCGTTTTGAAATGTCCTGCAGACTGATCAACGACCTCGACGTGAACGTGTTTAACTTCAAGCGGTTTGGCAAGGAGCTTCCCAAGCGGCACAACCTGAGTCCAAACTCCTTCATCCAGGTCGCCCTGCAGCTCGCCTACTACAGGTCGGCCACAGCGACACCGCTGAGTTTTATTTCTAATGTTTGCATCACAAGAGAATCTCCCATCTAATTGTTATTGTCACCTATTTGAGATTTCCGCTCACACCCAATCTTCCTAGTAATGCGTTGCTTAGAATGAACTTAATTGTACCATTTTTATAAAAGAAAAATGTTATACATCAGCTTGACATCATAGAAAATTATTGTTTAATCTGGATTTTTTTCTGGCGTTTTGGTTATTCTATGCAGTTTGTCTTTGAAACGAGAGCGCCTGCGTGGTTACACTTTTGACTTTTGTTCTCTCTTGTGTTAAGAGTCCACGCCGAGGTCGGCCCGGCCTGTGATATCGCCTCCCAGAGGATGTTTCGAGGAGGGAGGACGGAATATATCCGCTCGCCCACAAATGAGACGCTAAAGTTCATTCTTGCCTTCGGGGATCCGTCCGTAACGGTGAGAAGCGCCGGTGAATTGTTCCCCTGTGACTCCACAGGGCTCGTCAGCGGCGCGTTCAGGTGGTTCCACGCGAGGGCAAATGTAACTCGCTGTGGTTTTCTTTTCCCGCCTTGCAGCGAGAGGCAAAGCTCGAGTTGTTCCGGGAAGCCGTTGATGCCTACTCAGATCTGACTCTGAAGGTAAACGTCACGTCCACTTCCACCTGTTGTCCATCCGCACTTCTCTCTGAAATATTCTTTTCATCACCTCTGTTCAGGTACTCAAAGGACACGGCATCGACCTCCACCTGCTGGGGCTCAAGCTGCAGGCCATCGAGGAAGGACTGAGCATCCCCAAAATCTTCATGGATACAGCTTACGGCCTCGCAACACACTGGAAACTCCGAACGGGACAGGTGTGGGACTGCGTGTGTCCGGTGTCTTTGACACACCTGTAACGAGACAGGAAGTGGGGAATTTTGTGTTTGTTTATTTAAGTAAACTGAACTGAAGTGAAGTTTCCACTTGTGATGCATTTCAGTATACAATTCTGTCTTTTATGGTCCTAGTTTCACATTTTGTCTTATCCATTTACAGGTATTTACAAAGTAGCTAGCCTTTATTAGCTGTATTAAATGTGAGTTTATGCTTCATCCTGCTTGAACAAACCGTTGTATCCTTACTGCACCTGTTGTTATTTGAGCATGTGTAACTTTTTCTCTTGTTTTAATTCTCCCTCTCAACCCTTCAGGTGCCGGCGAACACGGACAGCGTGATGTGTTTTGGGCCCCTCGTTCCTGACGGTTACGCCATTTGCTACAACCCCCAGTCAGACCACGTCCACTTCTCCATCACCGCCTTCAACTGCTGCGAGGAGACAAACGCAGAAACGTTAGCCGTCACCCTGAAAGACACGTTGTGTCAGCTACAGGAACTACTGCAGCCTACTGTGTAGAGCTGCTCCCGCAGTACGTCCAACGGGATGAACCCATCCGTCCACGCGTGGGAAGAATAGCCCTTATTGTCTCAAAACCGCATTTTGTAGATGTTGTGTTGGGGTTTGGATGTTTTTCTGTGCATGTAGCACTTCACTAGGGCAATTAAATCTGAGCAAGTTTTCAAGATGGAGCTTGTGTCTGTATGGTGTTTTGTTCTTTTTTTTGGGAGGGGGGGGTAGTAATCAAGCACTATATCCCTTTCCTTTTACAGCATGAGCTGAGCAAGCACTCGGTATTATCTTTGCCACGGTATACGCAGCACTGTCTATGTGAAAGGACAACAAAGTCAACTTGACACGCTCTCATTAATCAAAATAAGCCAAAGCGTTTGTGTTGTAACTGACTACACTCCTTTTACAATCGACGGGATCAAGCGTAGACTTGCAAGTACCCTGAACTGACGATGCACACGTTTCTTGTTCACTGCTATCCATCAATTGATAATTGTTTTTGGAAACCATTGATTGTGTTTGTCTCTTTCCCAGTGACGCAACCGTAACTGCCGAGTGTACTTGCTGTAGGTTGAAATTTATTTTGAGTGTGTGTCTGCGCTCGAGAGATGCAGGACTGATTATTAAAACCTGCTTTCACGTGATTGCTCGTTTGGGTGCTTTGTGTGTGTCACAGTGATTGACAAAATAGGAGGGTTTTGTTTCGCATGTCTAGTGTGCACGTAATTGCATCAAAATGAATAACTCATTTTAGCTATGTAGTAAACCCATTACGTTCTCATCTCTTACTCCTCTGCCATCCGAGAAAGCATTAAAACCTTATTTAACAGCCAGAATTACAAGATTGCATGGTGTGTGTGATATATCTCTTATCACTTCAATGATTTATTGGAGGCCTTTATTATATTCAGTTTACATATTTCTTTTTCTTCTCAATTCCTTCTGCTTAATCAGCCTGGTTACAAAGGCGCATTAATATGCTGTAATTGGACAAAAGAATGGCTTGATCATATTGGCTCATATTACCCTGCAGTGTGCGTGATGTTTACCGCTGTTGTGGCTGTACAACATGTTCTCTGTGTCCGTGCTGCTGATTGGAGGAGCTGAAAGCGGAAGTGACGCAACGGTGGCGTCCACACACTTAAGGCAACCGGAACAAACAAAAGACACCAAAGCAAAGCTCAGCAGCGGTTTGAATGCTTTCGTTAAATTGTTTTAGGCGATAAAACGCACAGCTTGTGTGCAACAAGATGATTTAACGGACCCACCGAGCGGACTTTTGGACCCCGGCATGGAAAAATAAATGAAGATGACCGCATAACATTACACAAACCTCAAGATTTTATGTTTTTATATAATTTTAAAGGGATCTATTTGCTTTACTAGACCGTTTGGTATTTTCTTTTAACAGTCTTGAGTTATAATGAAGGGCTCCCATTTCGCTTTTTTGAGCCGGAGGCAGAGGCGCTCCGGCGGGTTGGCCGGGCTGCTGTATCCGCTCCTCGGTGCGTGTCTCTGGGCCGCGGTGATCGGCTACAAGCCGGTGGTCATAGTCCACGGTCTGTTCGACAGCTCAGGAGATTTTATACTATTACAGCAGTTTATCAACGAGGTGAGTGGTCGCGACAAAAACAACTGGTTCGACGTTGTTCTCTTGTTGATGTTCTGGAGGGAAGTATATACATTTTAAGAGTTGACCTTATGCAACGTAAACCACAGGCCTTACTGGTTATATCACCACACGACAGATGCGCACTTGCGTGGTGTATTATGCACTGTGCAACATCTGTCAGCTTTTATCACAATGACAGTCAGATGTTTGCATTGTGAAACATGTATTTTAGACCGTGCAGACACTGTACTGCTCTCCATAGTCCGTATCTGGACGTTTGGGTAGATTGAATCTGTGCAATAATTACAGAATGCACAGTGAAATGTGCCCTGTGCTACTTCTCTTCACGCACCCTTTAACAAAGACACACAATCTAAGATTGTATTTGGAATAACTTGTTTGAGTTGAGGAAGTGGTGTCGATTCCTTGGGGATTGCTTGATGAGGTTGAACAAACATTAAATTCCTCTTTTTCAAGCCTAGAAAGTTGACATCTGAAACCAGAATATTTCTGGATGAAAAGAAAATGGAAAGCAGAGATGTACAACTCCGTTTCAGTTTGTTTGCTTTCTTAACCAAACAGCTGAGTGATTAATACTCTATCTAAAGCATATCCTCATCACATAGTTGCTGAAAACACTGACTTTTGCAGATACATACTGTTCATTTGCTGTTGCTTGTAATGCTTGTTTCTTGTTCATGTTTTAATGCTTCATGCATCAATATGAGAAATCCCTTGGAAAAAGTTCCTCCCCACAAACCCGATACGCCCGGTTGATTAATTGAAACCACCTGCTCCTTTCTCCTGCAGTCTCATCCTGGAACAAATGTTACAGTCATCAACTTATTTGACAGAAGTTCCAGCCTGCAGCCCATGTGGAAGCAGGTGGAGGGATTCAAGGAAGCTATCTACCCCATAATGCAAAATGCAGAAGATGGAGTCCACTTTATCTGCTACTCTCAAGGTCTGCGTGCATTTGTGAAAAGAGACATCAATTTAGTATTTGCTTTGGTCTATAAAACACGCTTGGTATGTCATTCTTGGAATAACTGACCTCAGTTCTTTTATCTGATACAGTGGGGCTTTAACAGATTTCCTGTTGGATTTATTCACTGAATTGATATTTCTGCATTATTCAGAAGTTGCAGATTCCCAGCCTGCAGCTATTAAATGTTCCAGTCAGCATCAATCCAAGAATCCTGGAGAACTATTATATTTAAAACTAGTTTCTAAAGGTTTTAAAGTATTTCCTACAGATTCAAGGTAATTCTATAAAGACAAGCTGAAAATTATTTTCAGAAACACAAATAAAAAAATGAGAAAAATGTGTAGTCTAGTTAGTTTCATTAAAGCTGAAACCGCTAAACAGTTGGTCAGGTAGTTTTATTGGGAGGAAATTTATTTCAGGATTTTATCAAGAGTAAAATGTTTTCTGCTGACATTCCATCAGGTGGGCTGGTTTGCAGAGGAATCCTCTCCACTCTCTCTGACCACAACGTCCAATCTTTCATCTCTCTGTCCTCCCCTCAGGCCGGGCAATATGGAGGTGGGTTGAATTCAGAAAAGCTGTATACGTGATTGTCTAAAAGTGTCACGTGTGGCACCTTTCATCAATATTTACTTTAGATCAATAAATGAAGGGGTGGAGTCTCCCCATAGAACACCTATGGGGAGATTCTTTTGCAGATACATACAAAACAGTGCTACGAGTAAGCGTGATTGTTGGTAACTGCTGGATGTATGAATAACCATTGATTGCTAACAAGCTCACAATATCAACCTGAGTCGTGTTGAGAGGTGATCACGTGTCCGCGTTCGATTCGCCTCGTATTGCCACTGTGGCCAAGTTGCCTTGACGTCATGGCAAAGACTGGTTTCGCCCCTCAAGCATGTGCTTCATCCTGCTCTTTGTCTCTTCAGACACCGACTACTTGAGGTACCTCTTCCCACAGTTCATGAAGTCCAACCTCTTCCACCTCTGCTACACTGCAGTAGGTCAGAGGATCTCCATCTGCAACTACTGGAACGGTGAGAATGATTTAAAGGTCCAATTAGACTCTCAGAGCCGAGATTTCGTATAGGAATGTTTCATTTATAAGAGGTTGTTTTTGTTTGTTTTTTTCATACTGGTTTTGTCCTCCTCCTCCAGACCCCCACCACCGAGACATCTATGTGAACAGCAGTGACTATTTGGCTCTGCTCAACAGCGAGAGACGCAATCCTAACTCGACAGGTCAGCACATTCCTTGAGGACAAAACCCGTCCATAAGTCTGATGAATGTAACAATCAATGAGTGATTGTCTTAGTGATTCTACCGTGTGGTTGAGTGACTGAAATATCAATAGGTACGAGGAGGTTCTTGTACTTTTTTTTTTTTATCGGCTGGTCGTTTGGAAAACTGATTAATAGGAGAAAAAATGTATTTAATGGGCCTGTGTTAGAATGGCATATACGTACAATATTTTGACTAACCTTTGGGCTGCAATATATTATTACAGGCATTCAGAAAGCGGTTTAATTAAGTAATTTCACTTTCTATCTCAGAGTGGAAGAACAACTTCCTCAAAATTAAAAAGCTGGTTTTGATCGGAGGACCAGACGATGGAGTCATCACTCCCTGGCAGTCGAGGTGAGTTCGTCATGTCTTAACATTTTCATCTTGTGAATTTGTGTAAAGATAAAGACTTTTTTAGGATCATCTTTAAAACCGTGCATGAGATTTTTGGACATTTTCACAGTTTGATGGTGAAAGTCATCTTTGAAAATGCTTTTAACGCCATAATTAATCTCATCAGGTATTTGAACTGTGCCTGAACCCCTGATGAAAGCCACTTAACTTGTTGAGATTAGTATTTCTTCTGCCACAGTCACGTTAATATTTTTTCCAAAACACTTTGATAAAACCACAATGAGTTTTCTCCTTTGGTTGTATTCTTTTTTTTCGGGTGTAATATCCAAGGTTTTTACGCTCCGTTCACACATTATTCCGCTCTGCTGGATTGGCCTTTTCTGGCTGTGGCTTATCAGATGATTCTCATGTGATGCTCACACATTATAACACTTTTATGTTTTTATGTTGTTTCCCTCCTGATCTGTAGTCAATTTGGATTTTATGACGACAACGAGACTGTTGTTGAGATTCAGCATCAGGACGTGAGTGCAAATCACACAACAGACACACGCACACGCGTATGCAAAACAGCTTTTAGCTTAATAGGGTACCCTCTGTGATCATTACTTATATTTCGGTTTGTCTGTAATCTGTGATATATGTAAGACACATTTGGCTATTAGTAATTTATTTAAACGTAACTGCTGCTTGCAGAAATCTTTTGGTTAAAGTGTGCTTCATATCAGCGCGCCGTGCTTACACGGCTTTGGGATAATGTGTCTTCTTTTAGAAATGTAAAGAGGGTTACAACTTGAAGATGAACAGCAGCCTCATTTCATTATTTCTCTTCCTGTTTCAGTTGTATTTAAGAGATGTTTTCGGCCTGAAGACGCTGGCAGCTCGTGGAGATCTGATCATCTGCTCCGTTCCCGGCGTCGAACACGTGTTTTGGCACAAGAATGAGACGGTGTTCCACTTGTGCATGGAGAAGTGGCTGGTGTAGAGCCAAGCCCTTCACGGCGCGCGCACACACACACACACACACACACACGGTTACACGCGGTTTCACGCGCTGCAGTTTTATAAGCTCCTAACTTTCACCATTTATAAAAAAAACACACTGAACATTTGTAAGCGTACTCTTACAGTTGCTCCGTGCTCTTTGCTTGGGAGGTTTATGTCAATACATCTTGTTTTGTATGTTCATCCTAGTAAATATTTACTTACTCTAAAGGGAATAGTTTTATATTTTCGGAAGTGAACTTGCTTTCCTGCAGAGAAGTAGACAGGACTGGTACCAATATCATGACTCCACTAAACAGTATTAAGCTACAACTAGCAGCCGGTTATCTTGGCTGAAATGGACTGCTCGGTCCAAAGTTAGCAGAACCCACCGACCAGCACCTCCATGAGTTCAATAATGAACACGTCTTATATTGTTTGTTTCAACTGTACAAGAACTGAAGTGTAACAGGCGGTTATACGGCGGACGGTGTCTGGGCTGGACTCCGTTACATAGTTGCATCACCAAAGTGAGGTTGCCTAACAACCAGGGGAAACTCCAGGGAACGGTAGTGCTCGCAGTCCAGAAATACAACACCAACAAACCAACCATATGCATTAAACAAACAGGATATCACGTGTAGAGTTGTTGCACTTTAGAGAGGCAAGTCGACAGGTTTTATACCCTTTTGGGCTGACCGCTAACTGTAGGTTAATATTTCTTGTACGGACATAAAAGTGCTATTGATCTTGTGAGTTTTTAAAAACTGCTCCTTCTTCATAATCTCTTTTGGGCCGTATTGTATCTGTTGGACAAATGAAGCACACCTTTTGTCCGTGAGCTGTAGATTCTTAGAAAATAAGCACAAGGCACCAACCGTCAGAAGCAACAAACAATACTTTAACTAGGTTTATTTTAATGCAGTCAACGGTATAGCAAATTATATATTTAAAGGAGCAATCCAGCAATTAATTTTAGCTTGTTAGTAAAGTACAGGGACTTGACAGAAAGAAAAAGGTTAAGTCTATGAAGCAGCGGCTGAAGACATTTTAGAGTTTTTACAGTGTTTGTGATTGCTCTTCATGTATAAAATAGATTGTGTCCCTTTTTTAAGTTGCATGAGAGTGATGCTAATGTCTAATGCTAATGTGTGTGTGTGTGGTCACGCACACCTCAAAACCCAACGCAATACAAGTGCCTGAGCAAAGTTCTCTCATCCAGTCTTCATGTACAGATTCACGGCCCTGCTCATTGTATTATGCAGTAATTTATATATTGAACATGTGCGTCATGTTCTTTCAGTGTGTACATTTTATCATGAATATTGGAGCTTTGGAGCTTTAGTAAATTGAGCCTTAAAGTCTCCCGTCGTGCTTTAGTGTTTCATGTCCCACGCCGAAGTGTTACGACACGCTGCCTTTAGTGATGGTGCTGAAAATAATGATGTAGACGGGTTGCTGTAGAGTGGCAGTGCTATATTAGTGTTTAGTACGTGGCGCTCTTTACCTCCCTACGCATTTAGATATCTCAGGCGTTTGAGCATCCTTCGTGTTTGGCCATTTCTTGGAAAAGGGTTTGAATTCTTTGTTGCATTTTGTATATGTAGATATTTCTTAAACCAGGAAAAGAAGCGGAAATATGTAACCAAATTTTAAAAAGGGGAAAATGATGGAGATGGGATGATTATTACTTTGTAGTTTGTATATTGGTAGTATTATTTAGATTGTACATCCTTTGTTTTGTGTGCTTGTAAACGTTAATCAATCTAACTTTGGCTTTAAGGGATATCCTCTCTCTTCAGTTCTCTTCTCATGAAATAGTTAAATGTGGTTATGGACATTTTTCTAAAATCAAAAACTACTATTTTGAGTCCTACGATTTCTACAGTCTATGGTTGCCAATGAAAATCTGTCAAACGTGTTCAATTCCTCAATAAAAGACCATTTTAAACATTGTTTTTTGTCAGAATTTTTTGAAAGCCATTGTCTATTTGTATTTGTAAACTCTACCACCTCTTAATAATTGAACAAACTAGCACATGGATAACACGAATAAATAAACGGAAGAGTAAAGCTTTAAGTGCCATAAAACATCAGTACAAAATTGTTGAAGATAATTAATTGGTAAATATATTTCAAAACATCTGTATAGGTTTTTACCTTTTGGATTTTAAGGTTACTTAAAATACTTTACTTAATCCTCTTAAAACAAACTGATTCCTCCATCAAAACAATTGAAGTTGAGACTTGACTGTTTTTGTATTTTTCTAATTTAATTATGTTTTTGGTATATTTGAATTAATTCCTTTATTGGTTACAAATTATATTTTCGTTGAAGTTGACCGTTTAAAATGTACATTAATAGTATTTGACTGAGTTCCAAATGTCACGATGCAATGTAACTTGTAAAATAAGTTTTTGGGGCTATTCATTTATGGGATACTTTTGGTATGCTTTACACAATACACAATTAATACCCTAGAATTTAACATATTTGTTAGAGTTTAAATCTCATCTATTTTGGCTTCTACTCTTAATTTTGTCATTAATAGGCGTTGAATTTATGTTGATTTATGTGAGAAATAAGAGTATAGCTAGCAAATTATCATTATTTGTACAGTGAACTCACCGAATTATAAGCAAAAAGTAGAAAATGTCCCAAGTAGAATCGGCGTTTTTTTGTAGGTGTTCTACCGTTGCAGACTTCATACGTCAGAGGCATTCTAAAACAAATGACTACAAGTCCCAGCATGCACAGCGCCCGGAAGAACCCAGCCATTTTCCGGATATCTGCACGCGGCGCCTGGAAAAGGCCCTTTTCCGTCTCAGAGAAGTGTGGCACACAACGGCAGACACAAGTGAGTAAAAAATTCTGTTTTTACGGGCTTAATGTGTCCTGAAAAGGAGTATTCTTAGATATTTAGAATCAATACGAACTCGCGTTGCCCGATAGACCGGAACAAAACGTCAAAGTCTGCCGTAATGTTGTTTTATTTCCACTATGCATTTGCCTACGAGCACCACGGCGCGGAGTGTTAGCATGTGGCTAGCTCGCAAGTACATGTGGATGCGGCATGTTAATCAGCGACCTCGATAGATCTCAAACCAGTTTCATTCCACCAAATCTAACACCTTTGGTACAAATTGTTTTGGTATCAATGTAGAAAACACCTCATTAATTATGAATGTCCATAGTAACGGTAACGCGGTAGCTTGTCAGATGAAGGCTAACGTTACGTTGTAGGAGCAGGCTTCAGCTCGGGCCCTGCTAAGAGTCTTTCACCCGTGTTCTAGCATCCATTCACTCTTAATGGAGCTTCATGATCAATGAATATTGAGCTACTTTATTGTGTAATTAACCAATATGTAAGGTCATTTTGGTTTGAAAACTGGCAGAGCCGTGCAATGTAACGCAAATTAGCTATTAATCGGTACGTTACGTTAGGTATTGCGCATAATGCCATTGTCATATTTCCCTACGTTAAATTAGTTGAATCGTTTCACAACTGATCAAACTGGTGACAAAGTGATTTGCACACAGGACTGTGTTGATGTGCTGTGTGTCCGTGGCTTGAATTGACCGCTTCTCGTGTCTCCTCAGTGACTGAGTGGGAGACCGCACCGGCCGTGGCCGAGTCACCGGAGATCAAACTCTTCGGCAAGTGGAGCACCGACGATGTTCAGATTAACGACATCTCTCTGCAGGTATGAGGCAAGAGGCACTTACTAGAATCCTTTTAATAACTCTTAGTGCACTAAGCGAGGCTAGAGTCACGCCTGGATACGTCCCATTGTCCTGGTGTGCTAGAGTGCTCGCAGAGTAAATGTCTTTGCTTATTCATTGGCTGTAGTCTTGTTGTGACCCAGTCAACCACCGACTCAGACACATTAACCCGTCATACATGCAGGACATCCAACAGTGCCGCGGTTAAATCTTCATAACCATGTTTACATCGCCCCATGTACACAACAGGATTACATCGCAGTGAAAGAGAAGTACGCCAAGTACCTGCCACACTCTGGAGGGCGTTATGCGGCCAAACGTTTCCGTAAGGCCCAGTGCCCCATTGTGGAGCGTCTCACCAACTCCATGATGATGCACGGCCGCAACAACGGCAAGAAGCTGATGACCGTGCGCATCGTCAAGCACGCCTTCGAGATCATCCACCTGCTGACCGGAGAGGTATCCACTGCTAACATTCCCCAAACGCTTCCACCTGTTAAGTGTGTGCAGCACAATTCCACTATAAATCAGTGTATGCACTGAAGGAAAGGGGTGCCTGATTAACAGTCTCTCACTGACCATGTAAGTTTTTTTACAGAAGAGCTTCTTAGTTCGTATTTGATTAATTCGGTTGTCCAGTACATTCAATTTCTGTCCAATTAAGTCCAGACAGATATGACTTTTTTTTCTCCAATAAGTGCTTAATAACTTGGTGCATGTGGGGAGACAACCGATTATTAATGAAAAGAATGCAAATTTGTTTTAGTTGTCAGACTGAACTTACTTAATGGAATCTATAATGGTTGTATCACAAAGTTAAAACAAGTTTGTCCCTGTTACTACCTAAATATTCTCTTAAAATTTCTAGTTTTTTTTTTATTTGTTGCTTTATTTGCTGAAATGACTGTTTTGTGCGTCAAGCGAGGCTAGAGTCACGCTTGGACACGTCCCATTGTCTCGGTGTGCTAGAGTGCTCGTAGAGAAAATATCTTTGCTTATTCATTGGCTGTAGTCTTGTTGTGACCCAGTCAATCACCAACTCAGATACATCACACTACCAGCAGCCAGCTTTTTCTTCACCAAAGTTCTGGTGCCCATTTAGTAAATTGTTGTTCAGAGGGACCCCAGAAATAAAGTAGAGCCCTGAGCACATTTACCCGTAGTCAGTCAGGTTTCAGTTGCCGTTCTCTATCAGTCTTTATGTTGCCACGTGTTCATACGGTTTTACATTTTGTTCCCAGAATCCCCTCCAGGTCCTGGTGAATGCCATCATCAACAGTGGTCCCCGTGAGGACTCCACCCGTATTGGTCGTGCTGGTACCGTCAGGAGGCAGGCTGTGGATGTGTCACCCCTCCGCAGAGTCAACCAGGTAAACATTCATTTCATGTTAAAGGGTTTTGGTCTGTATAGCCCGGAGTGTTTCATGCTTTCACGTGTCTTTTTTTTATTTTTCTCAACTTGTGTAAGTGAAAGCTGCGATAGTTGTTTGCATTAAGCGAGGCTAGAGTCACGCTTGGACACATCCCATTGTCCTGGTGTGCTAGAGTGCTCGTAGAGTAAATGTCTTTGCTTATTCATTGGCTGTAGTCTTGTTGTGACCCAGTCAACCACCAACTCAGACACATTACACTACTTGCAGCCAGTGTTTGCTTCAGCCACTAATGTGTTGCTCCCTCGTCTTGTAGGCCATCTGGCTGCTGTGCACAGGAGCAAGAGAAGCTGCATTCAGGAACATCAAGACCATCGCCGAATGCCTGGCTGATGAGCTGATCAATGCTGCAAAGGTAACATCTTACCCACAGCCTTCGTTTACATTTGAGTGTTGGGGCATATTAATGTATCGTGACATTCTTGTAATTTCAGGGTTCATCTAACTCTTATGCCATCAAGAAGAAGGACGAGTTGGAGAGAGTTGCCAAGTCCAACCGTTAAAATGTTTGCTTTCTAACAAATAAATTTGAAGAAATATCTGTCCTTGTGCTTTTTAAAAACATGCCAGGTAAATACACTTCTGAAGCCAGTATGTGAACACCTGAGCCTACATTAGAGGGAAAGAATTAGTCATCTTTGAATTGTTTGCCTAGCTATTTAGTCTGAAACTTCAGGCAAAAGCATTGCAGCTTTCTAGCAGTCGGATCATAGTGTCATGCGTGCATTACCCAATGAATAAACAAGAGTTGTATGCTGTGTCAGTTTATGATCCCCTTCACCCCACCATGAACAACCTAGCAATGGAAGGTCAAAAGTAAGTGAGCTTTCTGTTGACGAGGAGGCACAGCGAGGACAGGGACCCTCCCAGTTTAGAGGCCTCGCTGCAGGCGGTAGGCAGGAGGGTGTAGTCCTGCAGCTTCTGGAAAGCCTGCAAAGCGAAAGGAAATTATTGTCTGCTGGAAAAATGGGGCCATAGCAGCTGTATTAGATCGAGCTTAGCAAAATTAATGAATCACATCTGCCTTTTAGTTAAAGGTTCAGTACTATATGGATTTCATTTCAGAAGTAAAACCTGCACCAATTATTTTAATGTATGTTACATAATTGTGAATTTGACCAAAGCAGATGTTAACGCAGTATTCAAAGAAAAAACTAAGCACATACTGCCACCTTCTCACATTTATAATCGTGGTTTGCACCACTGAAAACAGTAATGAAATCATTTGTGACAGCTGTCTGAAGGACAGTTTTTTCAGGGGTCCAATCGTGTCAATTTTCCATTGACCTATGGACTAACTAGTAATATTGTGGAACTAGCATCCAATGTTTCGAAATAAAATGATCAAAAGACTGAGTTACACCCTCAATACATTAGTTATTTGTCACTCCTCTGCTGTACTCACAGAGACGCTCTCTGGACATTCCTCTGCAGGCCGGTGCAGCAGGAAGTCCAGTTTAGACGGACCTTTGATGTAGATGCAGTTTGCTGCCAAATCCTCTGGAACAGTGAGCACTTCATAGTGGTGATCGGTCAGCTGTTCCATCATCTAGGGGGCAAACACATGCACTTATTGCACCACACCCAGCATTACAGACTCGGGGCACTAGTGCCATTATTAATATGACCAACAGTTGGGAAATGCAGTTCACATTAGAACAGTGAAAGGAAACGGACACTATGTAGGATAGAAAATATGCAGATTTTCCAAAGTAAGCCTTTTGAATAATGAATCATATGTAAACCAATATATATCATTCAAATCTCCCCTATGAATAAAAAAAAAAAATAGAAAAATGCTGCTGAGAGTTTTTGCTTTGACTTATGCCTTTGTGACGTTTTGCACATTGGCCCCAGTTTTAATGAATTTGTGATCTTAATCTGCTCTTCCAACTCCGTGTAAGAATGCAAACTAACGTATTCCCAAGACGTTTATAATTCTTTCTCAACTCATCGTGCACACGCGTGCGTGCGCACTTACCCGGAGTGTCTTCTTGGCCCCTTCACTGTTGCTGATGATGATGGTCTGTGGACCTCCCATGGAGCAGATGTTTCTCAGTCGGGCGCCACCACAGACGGGGACGGTAGACACGGCAAAGTCCTGATCAGACAAACGTTAGAAAGTTTCACTAAAATCAGGCTGTCCTTCAAAGTTGATTTGACGGTCCCTCATCTAATCATTGGTAAAGCACACGTTTTACAAATTAAGTCAAGTGCCAAACTTCTACAACTGTATAGCTTGACGCAAGTAGCTCGCTGTGGGATTCTGGAGTTTATTTTTTAAACCATGAGCTGCAGCGGTTGACCCCTCTTGGTCTGAATAGTCCCTAAAAGGAAAAGACTAAACCTGGCTACCACTTACATGTATTACAATGAAAAATGCATTGGATCGAGCAATGATCAATGATCTGCACTTTTAACAAATTGTCGGCCGTTTGTGCCCTTTCATCCCGTTTGGACCTCACGATGGCCCCCACCTACCCCAGTTCACACCAGACAAAACGCACAAATACGTTCAACACGAGTGGACGCAAAGTACCCGTGTGTGCTTTAGGAGTAGCAGAAGCGCACTTGAGTGGAGGAATCAATGAGTTATTTACAGACTACAATTCCCCAAATGCAACAAGGCAAAGTGCCACCTGCTCACTTCGGTAGCGGCTGATGTTTTATGTCGGCCGTCGTCTTCTTGCACTGGCAAAGAAGCTCAAACTACGGCCATTCATTGGCAGTATCTTTAGACACGTTCCCGCTCCATCATCCCACGATAACAAGCTTTATTACGGAGTAATTCTCCAACTCAGTCACCTTGAAAGTGTCGGCGAGTACTTCCGCCCCTCTGTGGTTGGTGTGGGACGAGATGCCGACAAAGAACTCCCTTCCTGTGAAGAGGACGTCGCAGCCCTCCAGCGTGGCCCCTCCAGAGTCCCCCATCTCCACCACCGTCAGATTCAGCTCGGACACCACCTTCCGAACTGCCTCCACCTGATCGAGGAGTAAAGCGTAGATGAAGAGTTTTTCCAAATACCTTTATTAGGGTTTGTGCTACCCATCCGTATTAACATAAACATTTTGACCTCTGGTTCCAAAGCCAAGACAGAATTGTTTACGGAGTTCAGTGCAGGAATGTCTTAACATTTTGTCAAGTAGATACAGAAAAATTCTGGTTTCTTGAGTCTTACCGGTCAAATCGTCACTATCCTACAAAGTATTTACACATGTATCATTTAAATTCTGTTCAGATGATCATGATTTAATTATAGTGACCCATTGCTTTGAAAGGGTTGTTTTCTAAAAAGTCTCCTTCCGAAGGGCCACAGACGGCACCATGTGACTACAATGCAACCGAAAACACAAAAGGCAACTGTAGTCCCTCTAAACGAGGGAAGAATCTGTGGCAGGTTCCTTCTCACACCCGACTTACACCAACCAAAACAAACAGCAGCAGCTTACTGCCCTGTGGCAGACAAAGCCAGATTAAGGGCATTGTCAGAGGATTAGGGTGCTGAATTTAAGCCAGCCTCTCGTCTACGGTTATACCTCGCCGCGTCTCTGCTGTTTGAAGGGCCTGGTGATGAGCGCCGTGTCTCCCTGGATGACCGCCACGTCCTCGATCCTCCAGCTCTCCGGCAGCTCGGGGTCAGCGGGGATCTCGATCAGCTGCAGGCCCACCTTCTGTCTCAGGGCTCCCGTCAGGCAGCCGAACTGACGCTGCGCTTTGGCCAGGTCCACCGAGGTCTCCCCTTTCTCGGAATCGTCCCCCGCCGCTTTCCCAAAGGTCTCTGGGACGCCCCGCACCACGGCGTGGGTGAAGCGGCCGTACGGGCACATGTTTGCCATGACGTCAATGGACTTACGGCAGCAGGTACGGGTGCTTTGCCAGAAGACGAGCAAGAAGTAACAAAAAGGATGGCCGGTTACCAACTTCTTCCGAGTTGAGTCACGAAAAACAGCGTTGGCACGGATTGAGCTAATGGTGGATCAGGATGTCCACGAGGAACGTGGAAAGCATCTTCAGCGCCGGCTTTTATTCCAGTGCTGGTGCCTCTGTCTGGGGAGAGAAAGAGAGATTAAAAGAAAGCACAATTTAACAAATCCCATTTCTTGTAGAGAGTACAAATATGCAGAGGCCATGGAACAGGCAAACATGTATGATATTATTCTTATTGAGATTAGCATGAAGCACAGCCCGAAAGAGTTGCACACAAAACGGTGATAGTTTGTAATGAGGGACATGGTCACCGGTAGAAGGTCTGCTGGATTCAAAGAGATGGCACAGTTGTAAGCAGACAAAGCCGCATTGTGCAGGCTGGATGAACCACACTTCAATATGCTGCAAAGCCCTGTCCATGTTGGGGCAGCGTGTCCTAGTTGGGACAATCGTTCCCTGTCTCACCGCGGGGGGGCTGCGCGCAGGGATGCGTCGCAAATCTCAAATCATAAACTTATGCAACACGTGCCGGGCTTTGATATCCATTTGTTTTGGTTATAAAAAAAGGCACGACGGGGAGCTTTTTAAGAGTACTTCCTTGCACGTGCAGTCTGTGAAATCAGTTAAAAAGGAGTAGTAGTACTAGTTGTTGCACTAGTTTGTGTACGCGTTCAACTAATGAGCGGCACAGCTGCAATAAGCAACGCGGATGGAGAACCGCGCGCAGCTCACAGCTCCGTCCCGACCTACGGCTAGCGGCACGTCCGAGGACGCGTCCACGTCGTCCCACGGGGGGAACTATCCCTGACACTCCCACGAGTTGCAACAAATAGCGTTACCATTGTGGCAGAAGGTCTTACCTGACAGTAAGATTTAATTCCCAAACCAGCCCGTTCGCTCGTTCCCGTTATTCTCCGTTGTCTTTCTCCACGAACAAAACTAACTGAGCTTCATTTGAAGTAAAATCACCGGCTGGGAATATGAGCATTTCCGGCAAAGAATTTCAAATGAAATGACTACAAGGAACCCGTAATTTTGGTCTACGTTGTGTCATCTCAACTCCGTTACTTATCTTTATCACAGATATCGCATCCCGCAAGTTTATTTGAACTCGAGCTCAGTGGTTAATGAGCCAAAAAAGAAAGCGTTACATGTACACGCACACTTTCCAGGGACCGGCATGCTCTTATTTTTTAAAGCAAAACCGCTGGTTTTCCGGTCATCTTTACGCATCTAAGTTTGATTTGATCCCTGTCATCCAATCAGCCCCTATCAGCCCCGCCCCCCACTCGTCCTTCCCAATTCAATCAAGGTTGAATCAAGGTATTTCATTGATTGTCAATAATGTTGAATGTAGCTGAACATCATAGTAATCAACACAGTGTTTGGTAAACACTCACCAAGTTTACAGTAAAATGTCTTAACGTTGAATGACACATGGATTTATGATAGTATACCATGAAAAAATGAATACTATATGATTGCAAACATAGCATAGCAAAAGAAAACAAGACATACAAATGTAATTTATTTTATAATGATGTCATATGTATATTAATACACAATAGTGTCATAATCATTTTTAGTATTGTATTTCATAAAAAATCACACTACAGGATGCCCTCTAAAATGGTCGTAAAATAGATAAAAACTTTATTAAAAAATTATTGATTGCTATACTGTAACTATTAAAAAACACTTTTTTTTAACACTACACATGATATCGTACTATAACATTAATGTATTTCTACCTACTATACTACTATATACGACTTTCTCTAACTCCTTTCGAATCATTATTCTATGAATCTTCTTAAATGCATATCCCAAATTTATTTTAGATTTTGTTTTATGTACTTTGCCATGACTTTCTGTGACATGTATACTGTTTTTTCAACACACGATTATATGGCATTAGAAGCCCAGCCAATAAAATCTCTCATTTTGCCACATTAAACCTACTCTGACACCTTTCCATTGTATTGATGGATTGGAGTACTTCTGTGAGATCATCTTGATTGTTTATGTACAGTCAATTTGCATCTAAATAGAAAACCATCCAAGTCAAAGTCACTGTAGATCCTTAAACTAAACTGTATTACCGAGCCATCGCCGTCTGTTTTTTGTCTCAGTGACACTGCCCAAAAAATAGTCTGGCTTTTCCTGAAATGTAGGTCAAAATGATGTTGGCACAGACGGGATTAAAGAATGCCATCTGTTCACTGAGACGCATCAGCCAGCACACAGAACATCACAGATATAGAACCAGAGAGTCCTCAGAAACAGTGTCCTCCAATGAAAGACATGCCTCATCAGAGCATGAGAGGAAAGATTCCCAAATTAAACCCTATTAAAAAACAAGCACACAATAGAGAAATTCAAGTCTTCAGGCTTCTGGGCCGCGTGCTCGGGTATAACTGTTAAAGAGCTTCCTCAGTCTGAGGCAGTGTGGCTCGCTCCATCACAAGACTGCTGTCAGCAGACCGTCCTGCGCGCTCTTCTCGTGTCTCCGATTACGTCGTAAAAGGATAATTCGGTTAAGGGGCCTCGCTCTTCAACTCACTGACTCTCAGTCTTTGACATGCTGACTTTTTCTCTTTGTGTTTCTTTCTCTTTCTAACATGCTGACTCTTTCTGCTGTGTGCTGACTTGAGTGCATTTTTTTTCTACTTAGCAGCTTTCAAGCTGCTGTGTGATGCACAAACGACACATAAACCACATAAGTCTTATTTTAACGAATAAAGACAATAATTCATGCAATGCTACTGAAAGCAGACAAAACTAATTTTACATCTAGTGCAGACAGTTTTGAACTGTTGAATATCTAATATAATAATATGAGTTATTAAAGTCCATTCATTTAGGTATCATTGGCATCATAAAATGCCAACAATGATAAAACAACTAAATAACAGGTCCAACATGCACACAAAGAGGTTACTACAAAGAAGGGGAAAGCGTAAATCATTTCTGTATTAAAGAGCATAGTTTACCAACATAGATAAGAAGTGTTCAGCTTACCTTTAAATAAAGTTATGTTTCTCTAAATAAAACAACTCAATCAATACCTCAATAACATTTTCCCTCTACCTACTGTCTTTTGAGGTCAGAGGTCATCTTATTCAACTGCTTTAAACTAAATTCCTGTTGAGGAACTGAATATAAAACCAAATTTTTAGCTGTTTTTGACTGTCAGCTGATCATAATTACGGCTCCTAATTAAATTTGCTTCAGGGAGGAGACACTAACTGCCCGAATAACATTTGTAGCCAGGAGGGAGATAGACGACCAAGAGAGACAGAAAACGTCTTCAGGCGACTGAAAGGTTCTGACAATATGAACTACATTTAAGGTGGTGCAATTTTTATCCACTAAAGGACGGGCGCTGTGAGCTCACAAGCAAAATCTGATTCTGGAGTAAGTCTCGCAACGCGGCGTTTCAGTGATTAGATGAGGGACCTGTAACGTACCAAGACGCAGATTTTTGTACGCTTGAATTGCTTGTAAATTTGAGGACTACTCACTGCGGCATCATGTCTGGTGTTCCACTTGTGATTGCACTCCTGTGTTGTCTTCCTTTGGCAGGTATGTAAAATAACATTCAAAACACTAAGTTATTGTAAATGTGTCTTCAATGACAAAATATATAAAAAACAATTCTGCATTTAAAAATGCAAAACTTTTACCTCATTTTTTTTTTACCAAAGATTATACATTTTCATCTGTGATTAAAGTTACTGGAATTACCTTTTCGCTAATTATGAAACAGCATCAATACTGATGCCTCCATATGATCTGCATAAGTAAAGTTTACCAAATATTTATATATTTATTGTTTTTCTGATGGCTTTTTCTACTCAGACAAATCAAACACAGTGATTTACAGTGTAAACCACTCTCCTGAGGAAACCCATTTCAGCCACTTGTACCCGTGACATAGTACTAAAGCGAGTGCAATACCGCCCCCGCTGCTCCGATTCTCCGGCCAAAGTCACACTCCATCTTCCCCTCACTCGTGAACAAGACCCCGAGGTACTTGAACTCCTTCACCTGGGGTAAGGACACATTCCCTACCTGGAGTAGGCAATCCATCGGTTTCCTGCTGAGAACCATGGCCTCAGATTTAGAGGTGCTAATCCTCATCCCGACCGCTTCACACTCGACTACGAAACGCTCCAATGATCAAGATCATTGATCTTTGGCCTAGGGTGTTCTGGTACTCTGAGCTGCTGTTTGGTGCATATGCACAGACAACAGTCAGAGTTTTCCCCCCCACCACTTGAAGGCGTAGGGAGGCGACCCTTTTGTCCACCGGGGTAATCTCCAATGTAGCAGCACTCAGCCGGAGACTTATAAGTATCCCCACACCCGCCTGGCGCCTCACACCATGGGCCACTCCGGAGTAGAATAGAGTCTATCCAGGAGTGTGGTTCCAGAGCCGAGCCTGTGCGTAGAGGTAAGATCCAGATCCAACTGATAACACTCCACCTGCCGCACAAGCTCCGGCTCCCCCCCAGAGAGGTTACATTGAACGTTCCCAGCACCAGCATCTGCCGCCCAGGTCTGTTCCATCTAGACCCCCCCCACTGTCACTGCCACCCTTGTAGCAGCGCACCCGACCCCATCGGTTTCCCCGAAAGGTGGTGAGCCCATGGGGAGTAGAGTGTTGGGCTGCCCCCTCACTCCTTCGGGCTGTGCACGGCTGGGCTCTGCGGCAAGCCCGGCCACCAGACGCTCGCTGTCAGGCCCTCCATCTGGGCCTGGCTCCAAATGGGGGCCCCCGGGATTCCTCCGGGCCGGGTAACTCCTTCCCTCTTCCATTTTTTCATAGGGTCTTTTTGAACCATTCTTAGTCTGGCCCCTCACCTGAGACCACTTTGCCAAGGGCAACCCTACCAGGAGCACAAGGCTCCCGACAACACAGCCCTCAGGGTCATAGGGACACACAAACCTCTCCACCACAAGGTGATGGTTCCTCAGAGAGAGAACCATGTGTATATATATATACATTCAAGAATGCCCATTAAACCTTCCGTTATTACTCCATGCACCAATCAATGTCAATATTCAGGCTCACTGTGAATTTCTTTCTATATATTTTCCAGCCTGTTTGAGCTGCTTCACCTGTTTATTCCCGGCCATCTCTCCTCTGGACTGCTTGAAGTTTCCACTGGAGTGTCCAGCTGGACAGCGCTGCCTATCCAGCACCGCTATGGGAAAACAGGGTTAGATCCTGATGTGTGTGTGTTTGTGTGTGGATGGAATTATTTTCTGGGAATGTAGGACAGAATGGTCACAAATTTCTTGATTTTAGAAGCGTTCAGGGCACATTACATATATATTTATACAGTTTGGTTTTAACTAGAAGGGAAAAAAGGGTTATTAAATTGAAGTTAGCTACCTGTCATATTCATTTTAAGGCTGTTACGATCCATATCGAAAGAGCTGTGAAATATTGATGTTCTTTTTGTAGTAACAATTGATTCACTGCTCTGCCAAAATTAGGTCAAATCTTCTGAAAGCCACTGTTACGTCTCACAATAACAGGTTGATTTAAAAATGTTGACATGGGGCAACCAGTTTTGAAAAGTAGGTTTGGTTGTCTATACAACTAAATTGACTATTCGGAACAAAAACGAATATTAAAAAAACTGTTTTAAGTTAACAGCATGCAGCTGTGAAGACCTGTTTTTACAAGAGTACAAATTAAATTAAGACTGAAGAATGACTCAACGGATCAAATCTCATCAGGCTGGTTGTCGGATCACTAATGCCTGTGATGCCATCAAATTATCTCTTAGAATAGCTTGCTGGGCTTCGTGGGTGGAGCTTAATGTTCACTGTATCTCATAAAGGCCTTTTTTTCCTTTTCACATGCAGGGTAACCCCTAAATGGTCAGCAGTTTCCGATAAGCACCTAAATAAACTCCCTTCTCACGCAGGCCCTCTGCAAGTGACAATGTACGAGAAGAGCTGCGCGGTCCCGTCCCAGTGTGGTGTGAGCGGACAGAAATTCGCCTCAGGCCTCTACTTCAACTACACCAACATCTGCTGTGATACGGACCTCTGCAATGGGGCCGAGTCCTTTGCTGCCCTCAGCTGGGGGGGAGGAGCAGCTCTCTGCCTTCTGCCTGCACTCAGCCTCCTCCTGGCCTGAACGTCAGAGGGGACGGTGATGGACGGGGACGGAGCTCTACAGCGAATGGTGACGATGTGACCTGGAGAAAATGTGCGCTCATAGAAACATGAGACGGCAGGCTTTTAAAATGATTTGTATCCTTCTTTATAACACATTCACACTCAAGCTCTTTCATTGGTGATGGCCCATATTTTTGGATGTGCTAACCGAAAGCACAATATTTTCTTGAAAAGGTAAAAAGAATTATGTCAGTAAGGCTAAAATATTTGTGGTGTATAATTGGTGTACAAAAAAGAAGTTGTTTTTAGTGGCCGCTCTGGATCATTGGGATATACGATTTGCTCAGTTCAGGTGATCAAACTTGAACAACACATTATTAGCTCAGGGTCCTTTTAGTCCTAAACATGGAGCTTTGGATCTCTTGAGCTTCTTCAACAAATAAGTAGATGCTTATTTGCCCACGTTGTCTTTAAAGTTTATTTTTCAGAAACATTTTGAATGTGATTATGAGATGATGACGGAAAGATCCAAAACAGCTACTTAATGTTAACTTCTTAACTTGTTTCCGATGTCAAGAATGTACCTTGACATGGATGAGAAATCCTTCAAATACTCAAATAAATGAGTCTCAATTTAAACTTCCACATTTTCATGTCAAATGCACCAGAAGAGATTCTAAATGGATCCTGAGGATTAAAACTCAAAATATACATGTCTTTAAGACAACACCCTTAAATTGGCCATGCATCAGTACATCTCCAGCACATTAACGATGCTATTCAGATGTTTTACCTAAATCCACACTGAAGAGGCATTCTTTGCATTTGTGCTGCATCTTGGGTGTATTTGCTTTGTATGTAGTTATTATTGTTTTACTAACTGTGCTGAGACACGCACACTGCTTCTACAGAATAATTTTCTCTTTGGCCATTTCCATGTTGTTACCCTTTGTAATGGTTGAAAATGAAAATAAAAAACACATAAGAGAAGGGATTCATTCTGGAGATATTCTTTATTAGGATACTAATACATGTGTATTTGTAAAGGCGTTAAACACAAAATGTAGTTTGACTGTACTATTAGTTTGATTGGTTATTCTAATCATCTGCTTTAGTTACACATGACTGTACGTTTTAATTCTGTGGACTCTTTAGTGTGAGTATCCAAATTAAAAAAAAAAATGAAAACACAAAAAATGACAAAATATTTGAAGGGGAATTTATAGGGGTAGGAAACAAAAATAAAATATCACGGTCGATATATAAAGAAAAAACACAAAAGGAAGTTTTTTTCAACAGTGAAGTTGAAAAAGAAATCTGAAGGTGACAAATATATCAAGTGAAATGGTTCCTGTGATTCCGTCCAACAGTAAGAAGTGAAGAACTACTACAACACTAAAATACATAAGCACTGACTTTATTCAAAGTCCCTTTAAATGTTTCATATTTAGAAAATAGATGAAATCAACAACCATTCAGTCAATATAAAATATACAGTGTCATCTTTTTGATCAACACTTGTATTATACCTCAAGGAAGAATGTAACTAAAATCATGTATAAAAAGAACCTGTTCCCCCACTGGACGTACAAGATTGTCTTTTCAAGACAAAATTGCACTTTGGTTAAATGTAAAATGTAGGAAAAAAGCTTCACCCTAATCTGAGAGATATGATACTTGATGATGCCACCATGACCTCATCACAAAACTACTGTATAACCGAAATCCTAATCGCAAAAAGTCTCCAGAAATGTTTATTTGCATAGTGGCCATGCTGAATTAAGGCATGTGCACAGGCAGCTTCAGTCGGACAAGGCGTGTTCCTATTGGTTCCAGTTCCACCCAGCGGGTTCATTTCAAGTCACTTTTTACATCAGACTATCAAGCTCAACAAGAGCGGACGAACTCTACGCGCAACACGTGACCGTTAAGTGACGACCTCCGACGATGTGACGACGATGGGTCTACTGCTGTCGCTAATCTAATCATCAAAAATTACAATTAAAAAACACAGAAAATGTTCTAGCTCGCCACCAGTGTGGAAAAGTGAAAAATAAAACTCAATGCTGCCATTGAAGGTTCTGAACTGTGACATATTTTAACATGATAGAGGGTGTGTGTCCGTTTTGTGGTGCAATAAAATATATCTTTATTCACTGAATGAAGGGTAAAGTGATTTGCATAGGTTTTAGTATTTGGGGGATTATCAGGACATTACTGCTGAAAGCTGCCAGATCTTGCATGTTTACCGTGAACTTCCTGTTCTTCCTTCCTTTTTTTGCCTCCTTGCAAACACTAAAGAAAACCAAACAGTATTTTGCAACAAGTTACCAGAGGACGTAATAAAAGTGCTTTCGGCTTTTAACTTCTTCATCCACAGCAAGTTTGATACACTGATAATCTGAACTCCCTCTTTTATATGTCATATAGAATTTACATGACAGGCAGAACTAAAAAAAACTGTTGGCAAAAGGCCCGACAGCGGATCATAAACAAGTTTGGTAATCTTGAATAATCCTCCGTGCCTGCTGTGGGAGCGCAGAGAGGGGAAGCCTGAGTCTATTGAAGAGGTTTCCTGTCTGTAACCGTTTTCAGCTGAGACCCCCTAAAGCGAGACCTGGTCTCTAGTGAAGTGAAAGCACTCCGTTTCCTTACTGAGGGGCACTTTGAGTAACAAGAAATATTATTTGATCAAAACACGACTGTTATTGAAAGGCCTTGTTGTTCCCGCAGATATTAAATAATAAAGTAGATAATACAGTTAATTGGCAGTTGAGCTGGCGATATTTTACAGCTTCCTTGAAACCAACACAAGTTGAATCAGTGCGTGTGAGGCTCGCATGTTTGATTTTGTAGGCAGCTTTGTGTGTTTAATCCCTCGCTCTAAAAAAGAAAATACAAATATATAATATAAAAGACATCAAGAAGGGAACTTCTTGATGTACACTACACAAGATGTAGGCTGTAGATTTAAGTGTGTGTTTGTGTGAGAGCCTGCAAGCAATGTGATCCATCAATCATTATCTCCCTGCATGGGTGAAGGCCCAGGAGCAGTTTAAGCCTCAGCTGATTCTTTTTTGTGTGGGCACGCGTTGTTTACACATGAGCTCGCCTGACTCCTTTGCTCTCCTGGAAAACGATGTGGTAAACAAAAAAAACAGAATACCAACATGAACAGCCCTCTTTAAAACGGGCCTCCGTGTATACCGTGATGATAGTAAACCAGCTATATTGACCCGTGTGAATATTCTAACCTAACTTTTAAAAATGGCCAAACAGTTGCAATGAAAGCCTTTTGAATTACAGGCCGAGTGTGTTTCTTCCAGAGTGAATGCTCGCTGTGTGCAGGAGAGCAAATCTGTGTTTTTATGCATGTGTATTGGTGACTTATGTATCCTGTTGGGCTTCTACTTGAGAGCTTTAGCTACCAAGGAGTAGGCGATGTGGACCTCGTCGTCAATGGGGCAGGTGGAGGAAAATTCCTCCCTGGCGTACGCTGCGTTCAGGTACCTCCAGAGGTGTGTCAGAGACTGAGGAATGCTGAAGCTTCGGTATTTTAAACACACCACCTGGAGAGGGGACAAGAGAAGGACACATACTGGACTTAAGCCTTCAGTCTGAGACTGGACGTTATTCTCTATTCATCGCAAGGACCCCCTGCTGCGCAGCTTAAAGCACCGAAGATTACCTTCACGATGTGCAGCTTAGGCAGCAAGTTGCAGTCGGCCAGAGTAAGCGCTTGGCCGTCCAGGAAGGGGCGGGACGAGGAAGTGAGCTCATCAGCGCTATTCTCGTCGATCTCGTCAGGAAGTGGGCAGCCGAGGTAGTCATCCAGCTTCTTCAGAGCCTTCAGCAGACCTTTCTCTAGATCTACCAAGCACGCACACACACAATTATACAGTGTTTAATCAAAGTTAAAGCAGCAGTTTGTTCACTCAGAATAAGCGCTAAATAATTATTGCATTTGTCTGGAAGAGCTTCAATCTGCTAATTATTAAGATGCCTGAATTCACAGTGTGATTCATTCTTCATTTGAAGAAATAAGCGAGCGGATTAAAAAACAAAACAGTTTTCTCCCAACAACAGTGACATTTGCAGTGAAGTCAGAGTACAGCCGGTGACCTGTTTGCAGAGTGGCAGGAGAGCTCAGCCCATAATGTTATTAGCTCGCACGCTCCCTGCTGGTTTTCTGTCCGTCAGAGAGACACAGAAAGAGCTCAGCCGTACTGGTTCGAGAAGATGCCACCAAAAATAAAGCAGTTAATTCCAAATGTTGCAAAAGTCTGGATGAAGGAAAGAATTAAGAGTTCCATCTTAAGACTCACGTTTAACTGGATTTATCGTTAGGTCTACTTACTTTCGTTGAGCTGAGGGTTGGAGTTCTTTACATAGGCAGAGAATTTGGAGAAAACATCCATGCCTGCTGTGTTGGACTCCGGGTTGCGAGCAGCCAGACGGGGATACCTTCACAAGCAGAGAGATCACTGATGATTAACATTGATTTACATTGCAATGAAAGAAATGTGAGAGGCTTACACCAAGAAGATCTCATGACAACAACTGCAAAAAACAAAGTGGGAGGCCAGCAAAACCATGAGGGCTGCAACTGACAGTTGCCTTCAATTAATTGTTTTGTTAAATTCTTTAAGAAAAGTGTGAAAATCTTTGGAATTGCCTACAGCCAATGATTGCATCTTAAAGAGTTAAAAAATATTCACATTAAGCAAAGAAAAGCCGAAATTCCTCACAATCCAAAAGCAAAGAAATGAAAATTATAACGGCATCAATGATTATTCATTGATAGTTATTTAAGCTGTAAAAAAGCCCCAAAGGAAACATTTGTAAAACAGATGCATGGAGTGATTACTTTGGAGGGCTGAGATTATCCTCCAGGAACTCCTCAATCTTGTTGGTGTCCGTTTTCACTTCGTTGCCGTACAGCAGGAAGGGAGGCTGGGCTCCTGGAGCCAGGTCCTTCAAGATGTCCGGCTTCCTACAAGGGTGCACGGAAATATGGAAACGTTAGAAACCAAGAGACATACAACCGGCAGGCAGAAGATAGAGGGTATTGCAGCAGAAGGGGGATGGAATAAAAAGGGGAAGGTGGAAACGAAAACACATTGAACCTTTGTAAATGTTTGTCACTCGTGACCTCCTCTGCAGAATCAGTCAGAGTAGCTTAAAATCTTCTAACACACAATCAGTGTGTTTACATGATGGTATAATTGGAATCTTTGCTTAGTCGGACTATGCTATCTTTCGGGGGGAGGTGCTATTATGCCAATATACATGTCAGTGAATAAATCGAATCATTGGTCGAAAGCATGTCATACCCGATACGACAGGTGGCGCTGTTTTCATTACAACTAGTTGTGATGCAGCCATTTCCGCTTGACCGCTTCACCACTACCAACAACAACAACATCAACATTACGAGAAAGATGGCGAACGGAGAGCAAGGTGAAGCTACGTCCCTCTACTATGTGTGCATGATGTTAACAGGAGCACAGCCAATGCGAATGGCGCTATCGGCTGATTTGATAACGGAGAGAAGACGCCGTCGGGATCTCAAGCGTGCGCAAAGTCCAGTTCCTCATCCGATTCACCGTTACATGCCGCAATAGTCGAACTATCAACTGGATCGGATGGAGTTATCTAGGGGTGTTAGTCGGATCGTAGTCGGACCGCACATAGTCGGAACAAAGGTGTTTACATGAAACGGATGATTCCATTTCAGTCCGACTGCCAGTTATTCAAATCCATGGAACCACGCTGAGTGTCTGAGGGAAATCTCTGGCCCTTTAATGCACGCAACATTTGGGAGGATGAAAACAGAAGGTCGTCATTCCTGTTATTCCAATAGAAATGTGCAGTGCGCGCGGGCACACACACACACACACACACGCGCACACGCACACACACGCACACACGCACGCACACACGCGCGCCCAGACCAATACAGGGAGACAAACACACTCCTGTGTAGAGGCAAGTCCAGTGTTTTTACCTTTTCATATCCACTGTGGTAACATCAAAGGTGACTCCTTTCAGCCACAGCACCATGAAGAGACGCTGGGAGAAAGGACAGTTGCCGATGCTCTGACCATCGCTCCCTGCCTGAGGCATAAAAACACGTTATATTATTTTGTGTTTTTCATATAGTTGCTGATGGATTTATCATAAGTAGCAGCACAAAGCAGGGGCATACATATGGGGAGCATTTAATTATTTCTCTGAACATTTGAAGAGGAAGAAAATAAGTTTTCACAATTTAACCAAGCAGCAAAAAAATATTTTTAATACAAAAATATTTTTTACTACACTGTCAATCTACTCTTAAATCAAAAGTGAAAAAAAGCAACAGTTAAAAATGAAATAAGCTGAAAAGGAGAAATCAAACAAAATGTTCTGCTCTCTAAAAAGAGTCAGAGGAATGTTTGTTTAATATAAAACAGATAACTGACACAGGGAATTTGAAGTGACAATACAAATTGATGAGCAATCTTTAAAAAAATGATCTGCATGAAAGTATGTGTTTTATGTTTTAAAATACTTTTTTTTGTCCATCCAACAAGTCAATTCGTATGGTTTGTATTTGATTGATGGATTGACTTTTGCAAGTTGCCAATTAATTAATCTGCTCAACTCAGTATGACGTAAAAGAATATAATTCTAATCTTTCATGCATGTAGAGCTCGTAGTCTACTCAGGAAATGATCATACAGCTTCAAAATGTTCCTTGTGTGGCCGCAGGAAGCCGTTTCCCATGTGGAGCCTCTTTACATCCCATTCCGGCCTCAGCAGGCAGCACGCACGAACCGTTAGAATAAAGCCGGAAACCGCGCGAGCGCCACCGATGTGAAAACGCTTTCCTGGAGACGCAGCCTAGTCTGCTAATTGAGGGTATCAAATGTCACTGAAGGCCGACTAAAAAACACGACTCAGAGAAGTTTTAACGGTACCTTTCAGCCCTGAAGGGTGGGGTCGTGGTGGGAGTAGCGGGTGGCGCACATGTCCTCACAGAGGAGTCATTACTTTAACCATATTTGTTGTATGGAGTTTTGAGCTCAAACAAACTAAATATAGAAAAAAGTCTATGATGTTCACCTGAATTAATCAGATTATTCTTCCTGCCACATAAATCCAGCAGAGGTGACATGACACAGCTGTCATATGATTCACGTTACATTTAATACTCACAAAGTAGGTGTCCCTATGCGTGGATAAGTTATCAGCTCTTAATAACATTACAGCGATGAAATGATAAGATATGACATCTCAGACATAACGTATCTATATTTTTAAGCTCGTCACACAAATGAATGGCAGCTAACGTCGCCGTGTCGACGCTTTTTTGGGGCTTCCGGGGCATCATCGAATCACTTACCTTGACAAAAAGTTCAACTTTGGGCTGATTCGCGTCGCTCATCGTCGCCGGCTGATGCACGAGACCCTTAAAAACTTTTCTACAAAAGAGAAAAACCCGCACAAACCATTAAAATCGAAACGGACTAGGGCACAAAGCTAACGTTACATTTCCTAAACGAAACAATAATGAGTTGGAAACTCTGGCGGCCGAGCCCATCTTCCGCTGACAACCCGAGTCGCTAAACGACAAGTGAAACATTGTAGCGGCTCCGTCCGCTTCAAACGAAGCGACCCGCCGCCTCGCGAAATCTCGACGTGTTAAATGTTTAGCTTACTTTAACGGTACGTCCGCACCGGGGGCTTAGGAAAGTGTCCAAAATTGTCGTTTAAGGGTGTAGCCGCCTGCTGGTCGTTTCCTCTCCCAGTTCTGCTGCCTCCAGTCCGCGGCGGTGACACGCTCATCATCATCATCATCCTCACCCGACGTCATCGTCACCACAGCGCCTCCATTTGCTGGTAAAGAGGCGTTCCACAACGCGCGCCGTGGCTTACCAGTCGTAGAAGAAGACTAAAAGAGGCTATGTCATTTAAATTTAACTAGTTTTATTTTAAGCATTAAAACCTTTTGGAGGTCTATCTCCAAAGCATTACTTAAGCATTACTCTTAGTTTAGTTGGATTGCGCTGGAAGCCGTTATGTAAACCAAATATGAGTTACATGGATATTTTATTAAACAATTCTGTGCTGCACTGTATGTCTTGCAGTAAAGAGCCAGTAGAGGGAGCTGTTGAGCTTCACACTGCGGTCTGAAGCTCTGGGAATCAAAATGTTACAAGGTTTGTCAGTCCAAACGGGTATTTAACTCTGATTATTAAAGCCTTGATTCAGATACAATATGTTCGCAAACTGGGCCGCAGGGAGACCCAGGAGTCCACATGGAACTTCCAAGGACAGTTTAAAGATAGTTTGATAGTTTCTTCATTTTTACAATGTGAAGGAAAACATCTTGCTCCGGTGTATGTCATCACAAAGTGTTTCTTTGTTAAAGTACATGATAATTTTACCAAATAACAACAATAATTTCAACATTTCAACTTGTGGTTTACTTAGTGTAGCTTTTTAGCTTTACATATTTCGATTTTAATCATTTGACTTATTTGTCATACTGTTTTCACTAAGAACAAATGTTCACAGCGGCTGAACATTTGAAAATAAATGTTAAATGTACTCAATCAAATCAAATCAAATTAATGTTGTACTTATATATATTTCTTTTTATTTATTTTAAAAAGATTTCAAATTTAAGTGGCATATGCTAAAAAAGTTTGAGGTTTTGTGAATAATTGGGTGCGACTATTTAAAGTTACAAAACTCTGGCAGAGGTTCTAGTTTTAATAATCAGATCATCTGCAGAGAAAACAATAGAGAATTATAGCCTGCTGCTGACAAGTGTGGACAACGTGTCACAGCACGGATCCTCCATTCAAAACAAGCCCTGCATACTGAACACACACAAACCTGTTATGTGTCTCTATAGAGAAAGACGGCTTCTCATGCCAGTCACACTTAAATACTTAGGAACCCATGAATAGAGTACTGTTTATTTGTAAACCCTAGATGCAAAATAACTTCTACTTGATAATATAGCTTTCATCAACCACAAAAGCATGAAGGACCCTCCACGAATATAGTCATTGTAGTAGAGTTTTATTGATGCTATATGGATTCTAAGAGAATCTCACATCACATGATGAAGGACAGCATGGCAGCACCGAGGGCCACCGTGAGAGAGAGCTGAACAGAGCCGACTCCATTACACAGGTTGGTTGTGCAGCACTGGAATGAGGTGGTGTACCCGGCACTCAGGATGCTGCCGGTCAGCGTCGTCCCACACAGGTCTGTGTCCAGGCAGCCGCGGAGTTGCAGCCTAAACGCCCCAGTTGCATTGAACTCTGGGAGGGTTGGAAACAGAAGATTATCTCAGCAAGTGAAAAAACAAAAACAAACTTAAATTATTGGTGAGCTAGCAGTATTCTGACATATATTATATTTTCATGGTTACATCCAGCAATTGCAGCTGCTGTTTTCTTGAAGCTGGACCCTACTAGTTAAAAATAGCTCTAAATCCATTTGGTTGTTTCATACGTCAAAGGCCTGCTCCCGTCTTCAACCTTTTCATGAAGCATAAGCACCATTGGTTTGACCTTCCAATATTTGTTCATACGTGGTTTGTTCATTTGCCAGGAAACTGTAGCTGTTGCTAAATGCTGGCTGATAATTCATTCAAATCGTTATGGAAAGTTTGATTGTTCCACGACAAATGGACAAATGAAGACACAGAGAAGTTGAAAGCATTTGAGTTATGTGTAAAGCATGATGCAAATGTACCTATTTTGGTTATTTCATTCTGTCTTATTTAACTACCCATTTCCATACGTCGTAGGATTTGTTAAACGTCAACCCTTGTAATATATTCACACAGTGTTTTGGTGATTTCCTTACGTGCTTCTCCCCTGAAGCAGCTCTGCGTGCCGTTGATACATTGGACGTCGCTCCCAAACAGACACGTCCCAAGTATTCCAATAGGGCACTGACGACAAGTCAGGCATTGTGCTGTTCAAGGAAAAATACAGTTGAAAATATGCGATTATCAGATTCAAAGTGAAGAAACTCCCTCAGCAAGTTATCAGTATCAGGGCTTCTGTGCTAGTTTCTGCTAAATACCTTCACCAATACCTCTCCAGCTCCTCCATTACGTGTTGTATCTGACTTTTATAAAGTGTAAAATGGTTCTTTTACAGTGGCTAGTTTTACACTTGGGGTGCAGTGATTTCCATTAATCTGATATATTTAAGGCAATTAAATAGATGTGTGGGCTACTTTTATTTTAATTTTAAATTTAAATCTTTCCTTCCTGAACGGTTGTTAAATTCAGGGAGCTCTTTAAACGCTTTTTTTTTTTTTTTGCCTAGACATGTGTTGGTCTGATACTGATTCTCAGGGGACATGAACTGGAATACCCTGATGGATTAGTGGCAATTAATTCTGAACAAGACATGTGTAGTGTACCAGACTTAATGTCATTAAGCCGTAGTAAAATCACCTGAGACCTCAACCATGAAAGCCAATTAATATAACTCATCTTTATCTTTGTTCATATCACAGAGTTGGTTTGTTGCAAGTAACCACATATATTTATGTATTTTATTATCTGTTGCCCTCCAATTAAAGTGTTAGATGTTGCCAAGCAAATACAAATACAATGGTCAGATGAATTAAATCATGTTTAAAAGACAATAGACAGTCTACGACAATGATAATTAGAGCAAATACAGGAATAATGATCATTATTCATAAATCCTCAAAATGCTGCATTGAGATCTACTGTTAACTTGACCTCGGTGCATTAGACGTTATTGTTACTATACCTGTTGCGATGAAGGCACCCAGGATGATCACTGCTTTCCAAATGTTAGTCATCTTTCTTGAGAGTTAAAAGGCAAACAGATTTCTTCAAAAAATGAACTTCAAGGTCTAGTTACCTGCTTCCACGAGCTTCTGTAAAGATATGAGGTTTTCATGTAGGACTCACTTAAAGACAACATGCGAGAATGTTGTTCTTCGGGTTTTGGTGTTCTAATTAGGGAAACAGGAAGTATTGGTTTAGAGAGGACAACCTTACTCAGACATTAACCTCCTTGATCATCTCAAGATCAAAAAGTTTTAGCACAATTAGATTTTGTTTTGTTTCATTAGTTTAATTATTAGAATGATCAAAAGGGTTTCATGCAATTCAAATATTCGTTTGTGTCAGTTGCAGAATTTTATTTCATTTTTTATTTCATTGGCTTGGACACAGCTTGTTTACATTGAGCTTTTTCACGGTGGTCTGTCCAAACCCGGCTTGGAGACTACAACACTGGGACATCACTACTACTCTTTAATGATTGCGCACAAAGACAACACCCCAGGAATGAATAGAATCTCCTTTGTTTCCTTCAAGTGCTCCAAACAGCCAGCAGGGCGGTGCTCAAAGCAGCAGCGAGCGGGAGCTGCATGGATGGAGCTCCGTTACAGAGGTCCTCGCTGCAGCAGGTCCGGGTGACGGTGTATCCGGCAGTCAGGAGGGCTCCAGATTCGGTTCGGTTGCACAGAGACGAAACCGTGCAGCCCCGAGTCTGCATGGCCATCATGCGACTGATGTTGAAGGCTGGAGGAGGAGATCAGAGGGAGCTGTTTAAACGTTCCACACAGAAAACTGTGCGTTGTGTCATTCAGGTAGAAGGTGGAAGACGTACACAGATCCCGTGAAGCAGAAATACCCAAGTCCTAATTTAAAAGTTTCCATTATAGCTACAGTATTGGTAACCCGATACCCAAACAGGCCACACACACATGCACATGTAGTAAGGAATTACATTACATGTCATTTAGCTGACGTTTTTATCCGAAGCAACTTGTAATAAGTGCATTCAACCACAGGGAAACAAACTCAGAAGAGCAAGAAACAAGAAAGTGCAATTTCATCAAAATCTATTGGTCTATCTATTGAATCTATCAGTCTATTAACTGGTCATGCGTCAATCTGGATGCAGTTTTTTTAATCTTGTAGCTGATTTGGGTGAAGATAATTTGACCTTCTTTGTATGTTGGGTAGTTTCATCTGTATCTTATTTAAAAATGGCAGAAAATATTATATATAGTGTAATATAAATAGTACTTGAGAGAATGTATTAAGGCTCTGTTTGAAACTTGCTAACAAACTATTTATGTTAAGTATTGCATAGTGTTGTGTAGAGAGCACTCCAGCAACGTAGTATGTGGGTTTTTTATATGGGGGAAATGTAGTAATTTAGAGTGTGAGGACGTCTTCAGGCTGTCAAATGGCAGACTGTGAGGCCGAGAGTTTAAATAATTAACCATGGGACAGTTCACAGAATAACACAACGTCTGCGTCAGCCGGTTGTCCTCAAATTATAATTTGTAAGTGTGTCATTGGAGGGTTGGTTTGCTCTTGTGTGTTGTTGTGAGCTTAGTTGTGCAACAGCAACAATGGTTTGAGGCAGCAGCAGGGTGAGTCACAGTAAACACAAACACAGGTTTGACTACCTGGTTACATCAAGATTAAAGAAGCACACATTGATTCTTCAACTCATTCAACTCCTGTATTCTAACTATCAACTAACCGGATGTCACATACACACTTAAAATGACTAGAAATAGAATCCACGTCAAGCGTTTATTTCCAAACAGTAGCCCGCCGCAGTCAAGGGTCACATGACACTTTAAGAGCCTCCTTCACACAATGGCGTCTATGGTCACGCCTTAATCTGCCCTGCCAGGACAGGTGGTCCATCCTCAGCTGTGTCTGATGAAGGTTTGAATTTAGAAAAGTGCTGCATGCTCATGTTGTCATTGACTAAATAGAATAGCAGAAGGTCACTGCAGTGTTACTCACCCAGTTCTCCCACGTAG